ACAATATCTGTTGAACATCGAGCTATAATAACAATATCTGTTCAACATTGAGCTAGTGTATTAATATCTGTTCAACATTGAGCTAGTGTATCAATATCTGTTCAACATTGAGCTAGTGTATCAATATCTGTTCAACATTGAGCTAGTGTATCAATATCTGAACAAAATTCTAACCAAACAAAAAGAATTCAATTAGGCACAAAAATAAAAAGGAATCCATTTATAAAGAGAAGCGAGATAAGGAATACATTAATAAAGAGAAGCGAGATAAGGAATCAATTTATAAAGAGAAGCGAGATAAGGAATATATTTATACAGAGAAGCGAGATAAGGAATATATTTATAAAGAGAAGCGAGATAAGGAATATATTTATAAAGAGAAGCGAGATAAGGAATATATTTATACAGAGAAGCGATATAAGGAATCAATTTATAAAGAGAAGCGAGATAAGGAATACATTAATAAAGAGAAGCGAGATAAGGAATATATTTATAAAGAGAAGCGAGATAAGGAGAAGCGAGATAAGGAATATTTTATAAAGAGAAGCGAGATAAGGAATATATTTATAAAGAGAAGCGATATAAGGAATATATTTATAAAGAGAAGCGAGATAAGGAATACATTAATAAAGAGAAGCGAGATAAGGAATATATTTATACAGAGAAGCGAGATAAGGAATACATTAATAAAGAGAAGCGAGATAAGGAATATATTAATAAAGAGAAGCGAGACAAGGAATCAATTTATAAAGAGAAGCGAGATACGGAATATATTTATAAAGAGAAGCGAGACAAGGAATCAATTTATAAAGAGAAGCGAGATATGGGTGTCTAGATGTATTGACAATCGATCCTTCTTTTGATCGAGACATCTTTAGTGACTTCTTCAGGTCAGTTTATTTTTTCCTCACACGACATAAAATCACCTTTATTTGTGAAATGTAATCAATTTTGAAAAGAAAAGACACAAACTTATATTTCAAAAAAATATATAGATATAATATTTATAAACATTATGATATTTTTGTAAACCTATACGACCTATTCAGATCATGTAACCTATGTTGACTCTGTATGACGCAAGTTGACCCTGGAGGATTATGTTGACCCAGCGTGACCTACGTTAACTCTATATACAATATATGTTGGCCCTGTATGACGTAAGTTGACCCTGGAGGATTATGTTGACCCAGTGTACCCTACGTTAACTCTATATACAATATATGTTGGCCCTGTATGACGTAAGCTGACCCTGGAGGATTATGTTGATCCAGTGTACCCTACGTTAACTCTATATACGATATATGTTGGCCCTGTATGACGTAAGTTGGCCCTGGAGGATTATGTTGACCCAGTGTAACCTACGTTAACTCTATATAAGATACATGTTGGCCCTGTATGACGTACGTTGATCCTGTAGGATTATGTTGACCCTGTATGGTGAACATTGGACCTGTGTGATTTTGTTGACGCAGTGTGACGTACGTTGACCCTATGTGACCTCTGTCGGCGCAATTTGATGATAGTTGACTCTATATGACGTATGTCGACGCTATGTGGTGTTCGTTGATCCTATATTGATCCTATATGACCTGTGTCGACGCAGTGTGATGTACGTTGACCCTATGTGACCTCTGTCGACGTAGTGTGATATACGTTGACCCTATGTGACCTCTGTCGGCGCAGTGTGATGTTAGTTGACTCTATATGACGTATGTTGACGCTATGTGATGTTCGTTGATGCTATATTGATCCTATATGACCTGTGTCGAAGCAGTGTGATGTACGTTGACCCTATGTGACCTCTGTCGACGCTATGTGATGATCGTTGACCCTATGTGACCTCTGTCGAGGCAGTGTGGTGTACGTTGACCCTATGTGACCTCTGTCGACGCAGTGTGATGTATGTTGACCCTATGTGACCTCTGTCAACGCAGCATGATCTAATGTGGTGTACGTTGACCTTATTTGGCCGACGTCGACGCAAAGTGATATACGTTGACGCATTGCTATCTACTATGACGACGCAGTGTGATGTACGTTGACCCTATGTGACCTCTGTCGACGCAGTGCGATGTACGTTGACTCTGGTGACCTCTGTCGGCGCAGTGTGATGTACGTTGACCCTATGTGACCTCTGTCGAGGCAGTGTGGTGTACGTTGACCCTATGTGACCTCTGTCGACGTAGTGTGATGTACGTTGACCCTATGTGATCTATGTCGACGCTATGTGATGTTCGTTGACCCTATGTGACCTCTGTCGAGGCAGTGTGGTGTACGTTGACCCTATGTGATCTATGTCGACGCTATGTGAGGTTCGTTGACCCTATGTGACCTCTGTCGAGGCAGTGTGATGTACGTTGACCCTAAATGACCTATGTCGACGCTATGTGATGTTCGTTGACCCTATGTAACCTATGTCGACGCAGTGTGATCTGCTTACCTTTTCTGACTATGTTGACCCACTATGGACCCCGAGATATGCCCTAGAAAACTAACGTTGACGCTATATAATATTAAGTTATTGACTATGCATGACCCTAGTTGCCTATATGACAGTTGTGACGGATCTTAGAAAATAAAAATCTCTTCTCAAAAATCATAATCTCACGTCTAGGTTTATTAGATTCAGAACAGATAATTAAGGCAGAACAGTTAAGGGTGTATGCTAGTTTTCCATGAAATACAATTCGTTTCCATTTCAATTCAATCCTTATAAATATAAACAGGCAATCTAATGTTCATTAATTTTGTTGTTACACTATGTAAATGTATTTTACAGTTATATCTGTTCGTATATATGCATGCTAAACTCCATCTCGTTTAACGTATTCTGCTACATGCCCACAAGCTTTTGAATATATTACGTAGTTTCAATCTAAATTCAGATGATTAAATCCAAGCCCTGTCTCTGTGTAGTTAAAAGTTGGACAGATACCAAACACGGAAATTTAGAGAGTGCAATTACCGTAAATCAGTTTAGTTATACCTGAATAACCTAGAAAGACCATGTGATCTATAACTCCAGGCTGTTCCTCGTCTAAACTATCATAGCCCTTTTACACTGCAAAGTACCGGGTACGGCAGTAAGATTGTGACAATATCACTTTCTCTTCATCTCTCGTGAAAAACTGTGAACCGAAGTCATACAAGGATATTGGGCAATATCAATAAGAAATTAACTATTCAAACGTATCATGCGCTCTGTTTATCAGTACAGAAGCAGAATATACGTTCATCGTCAGTATACGGTCGATGTTTTTTCTTTTTTTTTATGTCGGTCGTTCCGTAGTATTCATATTGTGCAACATCTGCCTGCACCCAGAGTGCACTCGAGATACCTCATGTTGTCATTTACACGTGTCGGTTTCATGGAGTTTGAATACTCTCTGACACTTTGAGTATAGGAACACGTATCTAGTTAGTTCCTGCTGAACCCAGGAACCGAATGATGAGTGTACTTTCGGAACCCCCCTTCCTATTCATCGTCGAGAATTATGAACAGAGCAAGGTATTTTTCAGACGAAGAACGCGATGGAACGCACGCGCACTTTTGAAGTATAGCAACTGTTAATACGTCATTACATCAATAAACATATACGTCCCACAGTTAATCATAATTTAACTACGGTTTCGCATATGGCGGTCTGGTGCGGACAAGGAAATATAAACGTTTTCCCAACCGGCTGGAGCTCACTCCTTATACACTAAAACGACACACCAAGCCACAAGATGAGGCTATCCAACACACAAAGCACGCTCTCACACATGGGATAGGTGACTATTAACTTTTACAACTTTAAGTAAGGGAGCGTACTATTTTATTCGTCATGTACAACGAGAATACTTGTGAACATCTAAAAACCTCCATTCATATGTACGCCACCTACACACATACATTCTGCGTACAATTTCATTCACAACATTATACAAAACAGGCGCGGGCGATCGATCTGATTCTCGTGCTAGAATGTCACTGGTGCGTATTAGGTTCTCGATTTCTGAGGTCATTTCGGGTCACAGTCAGGTTTAGGGGGTTTAATGTTTTCCATTGTGCTAAGCCTGATTTAGATCAAGAAGCATGTAGTTTTGTCTGCCAGGGATCACGAACGAGTGAATTCATAGTCTATTTGGTATCGACCCTGTGCCCAGGACGAAGTAGAATAATACTTGGCTTGATTAAGGGGATTCATCATGTCTAACGTTTATATGTATCACAATCACTAAACTTTGAATGTGGTATTGTGCTTGTTTTCTTGCACGATTCAAACTCAATGGTATTTTCCATGCAATTATTAAGACATGATATACCTTGTCTATTCAGCTTTAATTACATAATTTGAAGCTAACAAGGTACCATGGAAAATATTAACAATATACATACTTACACTTCCATGTGTCATAAACATACTTATGTATGAATGTTCGTGTTGTTTATTTAAAGATGTACTTGAAGTAAACGTTTTGTATAGCTGTGACATGTGCTATGTAGAATACATTCCCTTGTACTATACTTCTATTAGTAGAGCCACGATTACACACACACACTGGTAATAATACATACACAATACACCTTACGGATGCCATATAGTATTATCAATGACACGAGTTATCATTGTGAGATCACAAATTGCACAGGTGCACTTCTGTCTACATTCTATTAGGTAATGACAGCCTGCACGTAAACGACATTCAGAAATATTTACCTAGACACAAGTCTACTATTCTATAACACGTGTGCAGTATTGTTCTGTGTGAGTATTGAGATATACAATTTTAATTACGTCTTTAACCGCATTTTATTATAACAAAATTACTGAATGACATCTTGAGGTACCCCCATGAAACAAATCATTACGACACATGTAGGACACGAGAATTAAACAAGACAGGTATTTATGTTTTTTATCATATTGGTCATGCTTGGTTCGTACACAACAGTAATACTGTTTTGCTATGTGTGTATCGATTGATAAATGAACTTAATAAATCGTACTTACCCGAACACAGAATGGTGAGGATGAACCATGATTTCAGGTAGGTCACGTTATTCCATAACCTCGATGAAACACATACACACATTTTAACTCCTGCACGTCAGAAGTTCTACAAGAGAACTGAGGAGTGAGTCATACAACGTAACGTTTAATCATGAATTGAGTGGTGGGTCCCTCGGCGATAGTCTTTACCGGTCTGCTACCAATATCATAACACAGCCGGATATACGTCACAAACCGCCCAGTCTCAACTGAAAAAGAGCATGTATATATGACAGTTATTAGGAAAAATTGATCTGTCGGTAGTATATTGAGTTTATAAAGAGAGCGGGTCAGACTGTTGTCCGTGTAGGCATCGCGTGCTGCTCATATATATATTAAGTCTGTCAAATCTGCACGCTCTAGTTAGTGGAGTCCTAAGTATGGAATCACCGCAGCGTCAGCGCTGGACCAGCTGGCGCACTAATCATGTGTGTGTTGTTGTTTTGTTCTTTTTTTAAAGAAAAGACACATGGTAAGATTTTTGATCTATTTGTTTATTTACAGACAAGGGAGAGGATAGAGTCAGTTTGACACCTGCTGAGTAAAAGTACTTTCTATAGACAGAAAATGATGATATTTGAATGAATGGCCTTTTTTAACAAAGGTTTTTTTCAATAAGAACATGTATATAACCACTACATACACAGTTGTAAATTGCTTCATTCTAGTCCGTAAATCAAACTACCCCCACATGCTACATATCTCTCGTATAAAACAATGTTCTGTCACACGGACAAGTGACCAATGATGAAATTAAGTTTGTTGGTATTTGGGTGTATTAACCTTTATGCACCCTCGGCAGTTGTACTCTTGGGTTGTCAGACTGATCTGCATATGTCTAATTGTATTTGTACTTCATCTCACACCTAATCGCAGTGTCCCTTATACTCACCTATGTGGAAGGAACGACAACTATGAACAGTGTTGGTGGGAAACAAAGCATCATAAAGTACCTAGACTACTACAACGATTAATTATTCTCTGTAGAATCTGTGAAACACGTGCATGTATTCATAAATTTTGTTTCATAAAGTATAAAATTCTGAATGGACTGATTTACATACACAGTGCAGGTTTATGTGTTTAGTGACGTCATTATAAGTGTACAGTAATGGATGTCTTCCCGTGGCACCACTGCAAGTCTGTGAGGTGAATGTTTCGCCGGGATGTTCCAGGTCTTAATCACGTTTAAATCTTTCTATGTTCTGTGGGATTCATTATCACTGCCGGTTTGGTAGTTTGTACAATGTGTAAGACAACAGTCGGCATCCTCTCCTATCATAGCTTAGCGCTAGGTGCAACAAAGTGTCGACCAAAAGTTAAGGTGACTTTTTGTGTAAATAGAATGCCACACTTGTTTTAGACAGTCAGACATTCATCCATGAACATCTGGTTAACATAGTCTACTCGGATATTCGTTTATATATCCCATTGGTGACAATCTATTTAGTATTTGTTGCAGGGTTAGATAAGTTTGGCAATGGCCTAATATGGCATCAGTTTCGACAGGTAGTGTCTTGGTAACAGTGTGGATAGGGAGCCTGAAGTTGGTCCCTAGTTTCACTTAACAAAACCGGAACTAGGAACCAGATCTTGGTTCCATTTAAGTTAAAAACTTGAGTATGGATGTGAGTTCTATATAAGACCAATTTCTTTAAAAGGCAATGGTAGTCTTATCTTTCTTTGAAAAGTTGTGGGTTCGATTCCTTTCCTTAATTAAGGTAAGTTTATGAGCACCGGACTTTTTCGTTTAGCCAAAATATATGTTTTTCTTCAATGGAAATAGGGTTTGGTTCCAATTTCCGTTTTACTTCAACGGATCTTTGTCTGGTTCCTAGTTCCTTTTTTGTTTAAAAACAAAACAACAACAACCCCCCTACAAAAACAAAAAACAAAAAAAAAAAAAAAAACTAGGAACCAACTTCATGCTCCTGTCACTGTTACTACTGTGATGCCATCACTTTGGCGACAAATTCTGTTTATCATTTGAATTGTCAATGATGAGTTATAAATACTATCATTTCTTGTATAGTTCAAGGATGCCTTTAGTTTGACTGAATACTAGACTGATATAGTGGAAACATTCAAAAGGGGAAAGACGATATTTTAACGAATAGTAATTAAATAATTAGTTTAATTATCTCTCCTGGCAGGGGTTCCTGTTGTATTCAACTCCGATCTCCAACCGCTGAAGCCATCCAACGGTGCATATAAATACACCTATTTTCGACTTCCAGTCCCAGAAGATAACAGTTCAATGGTATACAATATCTTTTGACTTCTTTTATACAATTTATAAAGCATCGTTTTTACATCCTTTGAGAAACGTCCCGCCTAGATATTGGTGTGTTTTGCACGTACTGCAATAGTTTAACCTACACTGTAAAAATAGCATTTTGAATTCACAGAATGGTTTGATGATTGTAGAAGTTGGGAAACGTCTTGACCTATCAGCACGCGGTATTATAGGAAATCTTTTTATTGAGAATTCGTGAGAGGAAAGACTTATGTTGATGTTTACGGTGTTAACCGTGGGTTTTACTTACAAATGTAATTTCTCTCTATTTCGTTTTACACACTGAACTAGTCTTGAAGTAGTCAAGCAAATACAGCAATCAAAGAGTTTTTTCTCTTCATTTTGATACTGAAAGCTCGTTAGGTTTAAAGATTGCTTTCGTACGATTGTCGAAGCTGTTTGAGAACGTGACTTAGATTGTCGAAGCTGTTTGAGAACGTGACGTAGATTGTCGAAGCCGTTTGAGAACGTGACTTAGATTGTCGAAACTGTTTGAGAACGTGACTTAGATTGTCGAAGCTGTTTAAGAACGTGACGTAGATTGTCGAAACTGTTTAAGAACGTGACGTAGATTGTCGAAACTGTTTGAGAACGTGACTTAGATTGTCGAAGCTGTTTGAGAACGTGACTTAGATTGTCGAAGCTGTTTGAGAACGTGACGTAGATTGTCGAAACTGTTTGAGAACGTGACTTAGATTGTCGAAGCTGTTTGAGAACGTGACTTAGATTGTCGAAGCTGTTTGAGAACGTGACGTAGATTGTCGAAACTGTTTGAGAACGTGACTTAGATTGTCGAAGCTGTTTAAGAACGTGACGTAGATTGTCGAAGCTGTTTGAGAACGTGACTTAGATTGTCGAAGCTGTTTGAGAACGTGACTTAGATTGTCGAAGCTGTTTGAGAACGTGACGTAGATTGTCGAAGCCGTTTGAGAACGTGACTTAGATTGTCGAAGCTGTTTGAGAACGTGACGTAGATTGTCGAAACTGTTTGAGAACGTGACTTAGATTGTCGAAGCTGTTTGAGAACGTGACGTAGATTGTCGAAACTGTTTGAGAACGTGACTTAGATTGTCGAAGCTGTTTGAGAACGTGACGTAGATTGTCGAAGCTGTTTGAGAACGTGACGTAGATTGTCCGTATTGTTTGAGAATGTGACGCTGATTGTCGAAGCTGTTTGAGAATGTGACGTAGATTGTGGAGATTGTCTGAGATTGTGACGAGGATTGTCGAGTATGTTTGGAAACAAGACGGAGGTTGTCGATGTTGTTTGAAAATTTGACGTCGTGGATTTTAAATGCTGTATAAGAATGTGACATGGAATGTCGAAAAGAACGTCCCGTGGATATCAAGATTATTTGAAAATGTGACTTGGATTGTCAAGATTGCTTTAGAATGTGAAATGATTTATTGTGAAGGTGAGGTTGGTGATCAAGTACGTTTTAAAATATCATGTTTCTGAGAAGTGAGTATGCTGACAAGCCTTGTTCTTTATTCGTGTAATGTTGAAGGTCAAAGCAGTTATAAATACGCTGAAGGTCAAGGTCGTATGAGAAGGTGATATCTATGATCGGAGGTGTGTGCCGGTGATAACAATCTTGTTTGAAGATATAATATTGATTGCTAATGTTGTGTAAGGACGTGAAATGTTGACAGCGTTATTTTACAATATCATGTTGACAAACAAATCAACTGAGAATGTACTGTTTGAAAGTGTTATATCAATGCTCTATACGGAATGTTGAAGGTCAAGGTCGTGTGAAGATCTGTTGCAGATGGTCAAAATTTTAGAATTCTAAAGAAGTAGTCGGGGTTTATTTTATTGAAAGCATTGTTGATAATTGAGGTTACTTGAGGGTGTGATTTTGAAGATCAAGGTTTTTTTTTTATGTCGTGTCATTTATTTCCCATGTTTTTAAGTGAAAATCAATGCTGATTTGAGATGTGATGTGTTGAAGGTGAAGGTTGTTTGAAAAAGCATTGTTGATAATTGAGGTTACTTGAGGGTGTGATTTTGAAGATCAAGGTGTTTTTTAAGTCGTGTCATTTATTTCCCATGTTTTTAAGTGAAAATCAATGCTGATTTGAGATGTGATGTGTTGAAGGTGAAGGTTGTTTGAGAAATAAATTAATTTACAAGGTTGACATAAGATGTACCATTGATAAGACAAGTTGTTGGGTTATAGACAATTTTTTCAAGGATGTAAATGGTAATGGTTGATGTATTTGAATATATTGCTAATGTCAAGGTCGTTGCTGTTGGTTACAAAGATTGTTTGAAAATGTAATTGCTTTGAAATCTTTACCTCTTCCAGGTGTGCTGATGATGGTCATTCGAAATTCGAATAATGTACCCTTGAAAAATAAAGAATCTGTTTCCAAATGCAAGTTTATGACACATAAGTAGTTAAAACACATCAACATAATTCATAAAGAGAGACTGTTATCGACATATCCCCATAATACAACTTTCATCTAAAGCAGCTTTTGTTGCTTCCTATCTTTTTCTTTTCAAACGTAAAGAAAAGAAAAAGGAAAAATTTAGGTAAACACCATTCATATTACAGGTTAAAAGGAAGATAAACCACGATAGAAATGTTTTCCAATTTATTGATAATATCCAAAATTGCTAAAGAATCTAGAGGTATTTCCAGGGAAGGATTGAGGTTGCATCTGTGATGTACCTACTGCGCATTTACGTAACGTCATGCGCGTGAACCCAAAGTAGTCATCCGTGACAATTTGCCAAAATCGTGTTTACTTTCCGTCTAATTTCTAGCATTAGTTGATCCAGTGAACGAGTCATCAACATTTTTGTACAAAATTGAGGCGATGATAATTTATGTCGGTCAATTGCAGAAGATTATCGGCTTTGCACCACATCAAAACATTTGTAATTTGTAGATAAATATCAGATAATAATGCTTACGTATATAAACTGCGCAGAAAACTGAACTAAGTTATGAGTTCAGTAAGGATTCTCATTTTAAGGAATGATGTATGGTGTATCTGTTCATTAATGTGCTCAGTCTTACTCCCATTCAATTTCTTTTTATTTATTTATTTCAATAGGAAAGTCATGGATGATTCATTTATTTGTTTATACAGATTTTAATAATGCTTTTGATAAGTACAACATTTTTACATGATATAGAGGTATGACTAAAGAAATTACGCGCATGTTCAGAATGTTTGTAAGGTTTCTTTTGCAAAACCGGAAGAACTTAGTTAATCATACCTTGGACTTTTGGACATTATTTTGTAGATCATGGCAAAGTACTTTGAAATATATTTTCATCTATTACTGTCGCCATTTCCTGTACACAAAGACATCATGCATGGCGAACTTAAAACTAATTGTTTTAGTCCAGGTTTCGTCCACAAATTGACCACAAAGTAAGTGCGTCCTACTTGACATGTGTCCACGTGCTTCGAGACAAGTGATGTTGGCACACGACTCCTTACAGCGACATCCGTAGTGAACTCGGTACAGTTTCAGTATCAAAACAGTTTTTTTTATCTATTAAGTCGGTAGATTCGTTTGTTTTCCGTCCTCGGCTAAGCAACAGACGTCAGTAGTTCTCTATATATCTCTGTATGTACGTATATCTCCTTTATATCACGGTCCATTGTTCCTTTCAAGATTACGTGAGATATTTCTTTGTGTCACGAAACTTAATTGGTGATTTTCTTTTATCTTCGAGACATAGTTTTTGTGATGTATATAAATAAGTGCAATGGAACCTTATATTTCACTCGCATTGCGCACTCGTCAAAATGTCCAAATATCCGCACATTCGATGTATTTTTTTTTCATTTAGGAACAAGGAATGTCCTCTATACATGTATATCTGACCAGTTTTCACGTGAACATTATATTTCAAAAGCATTTTTAGTTTTTCAACGAAGAAAAAAGTGTAAAGAAATTCCATTCATGGTCTTATTTCCATTGAAATTAGATTAATTTCCGTATTTTAGATCGTCTAGATACATCGCATTATCAGATGTTCATTTTTTTTAAATCCTTGACATAGCTGTTTTTAAACTTTAAATATTTGTCTGTGGTTTTAGCAACTTGTGATATCAAAATGAGCATGGATCTTATGCTGTACACGATACAAAGGTCGGTTTATACTTGATAAAATGAAATAATATTACGGATTTCCCGACAGAAACACCAGTAATATTTTGATAAGACGATACTGGAACTGTCTTCATCAAACACATTTACGATAACACATGCACCTGTTAAGGAGATACCCAAATTTATCATCGTATAAAATTCGGAAAATATTCAACCATAACCTTATCTTTCACGATCACTTGAAGCGGGGGAAGCATTTTTTTTACCTGATAACACCAGTCGCAATATGCATGCACCAGTTCATGGTCGATCATGACTGCAACAACTTCGGCATAATTTTGGGACAACTTGCAGATGTTATCTTATAAACATTGGTTTAGCGGTTTTAACAGGACTAATTACGTAATTGTCGGTGTGATATCTAAACATCAACGTTCGTGAGCATTAATTACATGTCTATGACTCAAAAGCATCAATCTTTTGTTTCCGTTCGAAATACCCGGATCAAACACTGTAATCGTCTTCCGGCTTCTACCTTCAGGAGGCACTGACGTAACACTGGAACTCTAAACTACTGGTGCCAGACACTGATCGTTATTTATAAAACACGTGTATACCTTACCTCGTCAAAATTAAATTGAAGTCTCGAGACTCCGCCTAGAACCAAATCTCATTAGCCCCCTTTGTGCCCATTACCCCATTGTTCAGTTAATACTGGATGCCATGCCGTCTTAAATGTTTATTCTGAAAAAAAGTTCCGGAATAATTTTTGAAAACTTTTATCTTTAGATGGCTTAAGTAATTGCTTAATTTTGACCATGGGTGTTTGTTGTAAAGATAGATGCATCAATGCATGAACGTACTCATGGATGTTTGTTGTAATGATAGACCCATTGATGCCGGAATGTGGCCATGGATGTCTGTTGTAAAGATAAATCCATTGATGCCGGAATGTGGCCATGGTTGTTTGTTGTAATGATAGACAAATTGATGTCGGAATGTGGCCATGGTTGTTTGTTGTAATGATAGACCCATTGATGCCGGAATATGACCATGGATGTTTGTTGTAAAGATAGACAAATTGATGTCGGAATGTGGCCATGGTTGTTTGTTGTAATGATAGACCCATTGATGCCGGAATGTGACCATGGATGTTTGTTGTAAAGATAGACACATTGATGCCGGAATGTGGCCATGGTTGTTTGTTGTAATGATAGACCCATTGATGCCGGAATGTGGCCATGGTTGTTTGTTGTAATGATAGACCCATTGATGCCGGAATGTGACCATGGTTGTTTGTTGTAATGATAGACCAATTGATGCCGGGCACAGTAATCTAAGACGACAGAAACGTTTTCTAGATGGAAAAGTATAATTTCAATTTCTCTGTCGGGAGGATTGAGAAATATCTACTCTCTTATTTATTGAGTCTTTGAACCTAAAATTTCATTCGGTTACATTCTGAACATGCATGTATTTCTCTGTTTCGGAATAATACAAATGGTTTTGAATAACCAGATAATGAAGTTGACCACATCATACATCTTCTTTGATTAATTAAACATTTTATAGTTCTAAGGACACTGTTCAGTTTTGTTACAAATTAAAAATTAAATACACACAGTATTACTGAAGGAAATAGAAAATACATGGTCAGTGTCTGAACATATTAGCTGTATTTTGGCGAGAAAGATAAAAATGGCGAGCCTCTATTCATCCTCCAACACCGACTGAAAATCAGACTATTGAAACTTAGATCTTGTGGTTCAGTCTGTGTTTACCGGATGTTGACGGTACACTGAATTTTGCCTGATGATAGACGCCAATGTAATTACTCCGCACAGAAATATATTTCAAAACAGCGATTTTCTGAATTCCTATAGATAAACACGTTCATTGCAAATGTTAAAACGCGTATTTTAAAAAAACTATTTATATTTTTTAACGTAATATTTAAGTAGAATTAGAGATTATTTCTGTCGAATAATGGTACGTGCTGATATACAGCTGTTTTCCGTCACTACCGAATACAGCAAAAATATGGGGCAGGTGTATTCCGACAACGGCAGTGCCAGTTGCAGGATAAAGATATTTATTCTACTTTTGCAAGTGCAAGTTCCTTTTTAAAATGTAACTTTAGCCTATTTTTTTTCTACAGTATTGTTTAAATGTTTGTTTGCCAGGGCCCGTATTTACGAAACCATTATCATGCTCAAGCAAACTTTTTTTATAATTCACCTAAATCATATGAAATAATACAAATGTCAAATATAAACATTGAATATAACTTTGACTTGCAGTCCTTTCAAAACTGTTTTTAAATCTTTGGCTAAATCAGCCTTACTTATCCATTTTTAACTTAAACAAGACATAAGGCTTGAGCACAAAATTCATGCTTGAGCATGAGAACGGGTTCATGAATACGGGCACAGGTTTATCGGCTCATGAACAGCAATTGTCATTTGGGGCGTGATATCCTTCTGGTGGCTGGTGGCTACCTCACATCAAAGAAAATCGGAGTAAAGTGTCTTGCCTAAGGACACAGCTACGTCAGCACAGACCGGCCCGTTTCTTAGTCTGAAAAGAAACCCACAAGAAACCCGGCTGTAGATTCGAACCACGCATCTCAGTTCTTCGTCTGATGTTACGTCGGCTAGGATTTTAATACCCGACTATCGCTGTTTATAATTATTGTCTTGTGTTTTCCTGTTTACTTACTATGAATTCTCATTAGTTTTTATCATTTGCATTCATGATAACACACAACGTTCATCATACATGTACCGGTATATTCTAACAGGACAAGAGACAGGAATATTAATCATCATACCGACCCACCTTCTATCTGATGTCAATGATGCTTTCGTCCCACTCGGTTTTGCACCAGGTTTACTTGGAAAAAGGGAACTCAAAGTCTAAATCTATGCTGCAACAGCAGGATGCACTTAACGTGTACATGCACATAGATAAACGTATTTTGAACTGGCTGGTCCAATGACGGACATAGACCAGTACAAAGTGAGACCAATATTAGTACGGGGTTTCCAAACAAACAAAACGAAGGAAATAGCTTTAAATTGATATTTCCAGTTTTTTTTTCAACCATACAGCAATATAACATACAGCGAAACCAAGGCTTGAAAAAAAAACAACAAAAACAAAATTGTTATGACGTCCATTTAATTTGCTAATTTTATAGTCATAATCTGATAAAGTGATATTTTAATAGCAATAATCATTTAATAAAAATACTTATGTTCGGTTCGTTGAGTCGAGGACAAGTGTACTTATTGACATTTATAAGCAAATCAAAACAAAAATTGTTTGATTTCGAAACTAACCATAAATATTAGCACGTGCAGATTATTCACGTGTATAATAATGCCAGAGTGCACATGTGCGATTCTCTAAAGGAGCAGTAACCTATTATAAAAACAATTTTCCTTTTGTCCGAGGATCCTTGTAATTAACCACATCATTTTCTGTCATACACCATAATGTATTTAACACTGGGATTTCCCTGCATCCTTAACTACGTCGCAGTTTCCCTCATCTTTTATCTATGTATAGCGATATCATATCTGTATTTTGTTTACACTTCATCTAAGTACATCTTGTATACCCAAATTAGCTTCTACAACACAGGAACACGCCCAAAACTGTCGAAAGCATAGTCAGTTTACAACCAATGTTCATAAAGCTTTCACTTTACAATTTCTTTGTAAACGAATGATTTTTTCGTCTGAAGAAACTTTGACTAAGTGTTCCAAAAGACAAGAAGCATCAGTTGATATCATTACTTCAGATCACTTGAAAATAGTTTAGCACAAATGTTTGATAAGCACTAGTTCATTGATCTCCATGATGACCGGCAGCCATCTTGGAATTTGGGGTACGTACAGTCAAATCCATCACCAATGCTTCCTCGTCATCGGTGTTGTCGATCTCGCCTATCACAAGCTGGCTATCTTCCTCAACAGAACGTCTCTCTGAACGACGGAAATCCCGATCGCAAATATAATGAAGAGTCCTGCCCGCGGATGCACAGGTGACGTCATCAGGACGGGATTGACCGCTGTCGACGCTCGATGATCGAGAGGAGATTTCTTCGTCAGTGTGCACGTGGTGCGGAAACGCGCGGGGCCGGGCGTCAGAAATCGGTGTATGAGCTTTAGGCGGGAACTCGAACAGTTTGCTGAATGTTGGGCTTCCTGGTGACCACAGAGGCGACCTCAACTCCCCGAGAAGTGTGTCCGCATGGTAACTGGGAACCTCAAATGATTTCGGAGGATTGGAGACGGCGTTGGGCAACAAGTTGATTGGGTAGAAGTACGGGAATGGCTGGTAAGGTCCGAAGTCCGAGGTATGGTATTCCGGCTCCGGCTTTATCGTGGCTCTTTGGACGGGTGAAAAGGATGCGTTGCTAGAGGAAGTTGACGAGGAGAGAGAATCACTAGAGAAGTCTGTAGACGAGGAATCGATCGCTGTCTGCCTGGTCCTTTTGGCACGAGCTCGGCGGTTTTGGAACCAAACCTGTGGACAGAAATTGAACATTAGATGAATGAGAACAATTCATTACAGTATGTTAGAACCACAACAGCGAAAAAATTAAAAAAAAAAAAAAAAAAAAACTGACAGAAAAACAATGTGAAAATTATAATGATTTTTTTAATCTGGATGTACGTGGCAAAATTTCGTCCAGAATACAGCTAGTGTCATTGAAAGAAACTAAGACGGACCTCCAGACGAGATATTTCAAGTTATTATTATTTGAGTGTTACACTGTCCTTAATACACTATAAAGTATAGTGACGTTGTTCTAAAGAGGCAGGAGATACATAAACCTGTGATTTGTGGACGAAATATCGTACAAGGGGTAGATAATTATCGACTGAAAAAAATACAAACGAACGAAAGGACGGAGGAATGTAGGTCGTTTGTTCTCTGAAGGAGACACATTTATAAACAATGGACAAACATAATGAAACGACTTGGCTAAAACGTTATGCCATAATTTTCGTCTTTCATACACTCACATATTGGGACAATATTTCATCTTCGTCTTAGTACTAACTTATGTAACAATATGTAAAACATGAAATCGTCATTGGTGGACGGAAAATGTCTCATTTAAAATTGATCGTGATCGGAAGGACCGATGTATAATGGACAGACATGATGATACGACTTTGTATAAAATGTCGTGCCATAATGTCCGTCCTACATACAACCCCGTGGATTATTCAAAGGCATGGGAGAGAACCTGTCAAAAGGATGAATAATACAAAACAAAACTTGTAACAAACACAGACACGTTGTGTGTAGGGAAGGACCGATGTATGATAGACAGACATGATGATACGACTTTGTATAAAATGTCGTGCCATAATCTCCGTCCTTCATACAACCAGCCATTTTGTATTTATCGTTCATATGGGGACGAAAGGACGTCAGACAGACATTTGAGCATGGGAAAATATCGTAATGGAAGAGAGACGTTTTGGAAAGACGTATGATGGACAGATATGATGATACGACTCTATATAAAATGTCGTACCATAATTTCCGTCCTTCATACAACTATATCATCAAGGCAACAGATGAACTGGGGAAGAAACGACGAATAATGGACGAAAACGGTTGTGTAATGAACAGACATCCGTCCTACATATGACACATTTCATAAATACGATATATTTGATGAAAGACGAACAGGCAGTGGCGAAACTACAATTAATTGTTTTTTCGAATGATGTCTCGGACAGATGAAGAATGGACAGACATGATGATACGACTATGTCGAAAATGTCGTGCCAAAATCTCCGTCCTTCATACAACCATTCATTTTGTATTTATCGTTCATATGGGGACGCAAAGACGTCAGACAGACATATGAGGATGTACAGATATCGTCATGGGAATCGATATTGGAAAGTCGTATGATGGACAGACATGATGATACGACTGTGTATAAAATGTCGTGCCAAAATCTCCGTCCTTCATACAACCATCCATTTTGTATTTATCGTTCATATGGGGACGAAAGGACGTCAGACAGACACGTGAGAATGGACAGCTATCGTAATGAAGGAGAGATGTGTTGGAAAAACGTATGATCGACAGACATGATGATACGACTATGTATAAAATGTCGTGCCAAAATCTCCGTCCTTCATACAATCACCTTATCTAAAGATTAGGCTTCGTGAACTGGCGAGGAAAGGATAGTTTACAAATATGTGGAAGTAAGGCAGTATTATGGACAGACATTAATTTCGTGCTATAATTTCCAGAGAATGAAACTAATGATTAGACAGATCTATTTGTACGGAAGGAAGGATTTAAAAGATATATAATTTGTGAAATAACGAAAGTATAGAGAACAGTTATGATGACACGATTGCATAATACAACCATCTATTGTGCCAGAGTTTTTCATCCGAGAAAGTCAAACGTAAAATAGACATTCATATATTTGATGATATAAAGTATTGTTATCATATACAACGAACATATCATATCATATCATATATCATTTCATTATATCATATATATCATATCATATATCATATCATATATCATTTCATCATATCATATATATCATATCATATATCATTTCATCATATCATTTCATCATATCATTTCATATCATATAGATCATATCATATCATATATCAGATCATATTATATATCATATTACATTATATTATATTATATTATATTATATTATATTATATTATATTATATTATATTATATTATATTATATTATATTATATTATATTATATTATATTATATTATATATCACAACCATTGAAGAATCACTAATTTTTACCATTTAGTTTGTTCCGTCTCTATGCTATTACCTTTGACGTTGCTCCTGTACTTAGTATGGGTTTGTTACAGTGCTAATGGTGTACTGATCTTACCTCCATTTCTAACTATTTATATCTTCTGTAATTAATTTACAATGGACAGTTCTACTCATCTCTATTCATCCTCGGGAGTTTTTACTCAAACCTAGAAGGGGTGAGCCGGTTACAACTTAATTATCACTAATTACCTGGTAATTACCGCGGGGCCTGTTTGTTTTGACTGGTCACCGTGGGCGGAGTATTTATTAACGAGAGTTGTTTGGTTTAGCCTTTGTCTGTACCGCTCAATCTCCAAATGGTCAAACTGTTTTTCTTAATTCTATTTTGATTTCGTAGGAAGGTAAATGTATTAATATATTGGTTTATGTGTCACACAGGTAAGCAATAATTTCAATTACGATTTACAAACGTTTTTCCTGATAATCATGTAGTGCAGTAGATTGGTATGTACTTATCTATTTATTTACAAAATATAATAGCTGGCAAAAATCTTTTTTTTTAAATGGTATCAAGCCTTTCATTGACACTAATCCATAGGAAATTTAACAAAATTTCCCGTAATTATTGCTAGACTACATAAAATATCAGGAAATTGATCATATTCAATAGAATTTGTTCCGAAAATCTAACTTAATGAAATCCGATCTTTTCGGGAAAGGAAAGAAAGAATATTCCGGACTTAGCTCTTTGTATTGAGGTGTGGATTTTTCAAAGACATTTTAACGAAATACAGTTGAAAAACAGAAACAAACATGAATGCCTTTGTAGTACATTTTCTCTGAGTGGTGACAGGATCAGGATAATCGGTAAGGATTTGACACTAATGAACCGATTGATGTATTGATTGATTACAGTCGATCGATCGATATCTATGAGAAAATTTACCCGGAAAGATCAAAACGAAAGTAAATATCTTGCTCAGCTTTAGACCCGAATGACAATGTTATTTTCATTACTACGCATGCTTACCTGGACTCGAGCTTCTTCCTCCCCTATGATTCCCGCCAACTTGGAACGCTCGTACATATCCGGGTAAGAGTTCTGAGAGAAAGCAAGTTCAAGAATGGAGACAGCTTGAGGGGAGAATATGGTCCTCGTACGTCGCTTCCGTTTCCTGGAGTTCTGCGCAAGGTTAATGCCTGTTTGGTTGCCATCTAAATATTGGGTAATAAACATGGTACATTATGTCTTAGGATTAAAGTCTGTGGATGACACGATAAAGATTACTGTCAGTTGTTTACGAAATCAGAAGCAGCGAAACAGGATTGTTTTTACTGAAATTGGAAACAATAATACTGTGATTATAAAAAAAAAGCTGGAAGAAATTATATATATATTTATACGGACAGAAGTAAACACGTTACATTTATATGGAGGGTAGGGAATCGTGATTTACGCTTTACACAATGCGGACAAGAAGGGAGACAACCGAGAGTAAGAAATCTTTACTTCATACAGTGTATAGCCAGATAGGGACTTGGTATGATGATATTAAAGGCTTGTAGAATCTTTCATTCCCTTGGACGAGAGCAAACGGACCTCGAACCGGAGGGAAAGGTGGTTCAATTAGCAAGACTAAGTTTAAGATATTCAACATATTACCGACGGAGACTAAGATATTGTACATTATACCGACGGAGACTAAGATATTGTACATTATACCGACGGAGATTGAGATATTGTACATTATACCGACGGAGACTAAGATATTGTACATTATACCGACGGAGACTAAGATATTGAACATTATACCGACGGAGAATGAGATATTGTACATTATATCGACGGAGACTAAGATATTGTACATTATACCGACGGAGACTAAGATATTGTACATTATACCGACGGGGACTAAGATATTGTACATTATACCGACGGGGACTAAGATATTCTACATTATACCGACGGAGACTGAGATATTGTACATTATACCGACGGAGATTGAGATATTGTACATTATACCGACGGAGACTAAGATATTATACATTATACCGACGGAGACTGAGATATTGTACATTATACCGACGGAGACTAAGATATTGTACATTATACCGACGGAGACTGAGATATTGTACATTATATCGACGGGGACTAAGATATTGTACATTATACCGACGGAGACTAAGATATTGTACATTATACCGACGGAGACTAAGATATTGTACATTATACCGACGGAGACTAAGATATTGTACATTATACCGACGGAGACTGAGATATTGTACATTATACCGACGGGGACTAAGATATTGAACATTATACCGACGGAGACTAAGATATTGTACATTATACCGACGGAGACTAAGATATTGTACATTATACCGACGGAGACTAAGATATTGTACATTATACCGACGGAGACTAAGATATTGTACATTATACCGACGGAGACTAAGATATTGTACATTATACCGACGGAGATATTGTACATTATACCGACGGAGACTAAGATATTGTACATTATACCGACGGAGACTTATACATTATACCGACGGAGACTGAGATATTGTACATTATACCGACGGAGACTAAGATATTGTACATTATACCGACGGAGACTAAGATATTGTACATTATACCGACGGAGACTAAGATATTGTACATTATACCGACGGAGACTAAGATATTGTACATTATACCGACGGAGACTAAGATATTGTACATTATACCGACGGAGACTAAGATATTGTACATTATACCGACGGAGACTAAGATATTGTACATTATACCGACGGAGACTAAGATATTGTACATTATACCGACGGAGAATGAGATATTGTACATGTTATCGACGGAGATTGAGATATTGAACATTATACCGACGGAGATTGAGATATTGTACATTATACCGACGGAGACTAAGATATTGTACATTATATCGACGGAGACTGAGATATTGTACATTATACCGACGGAGACTGAGATATTGTACATTATATCGACGGAGATATATACGACGGAGACTGAGATATTGTACATTATATCGACGGAGACTGAGATATTGTACATTATACCGACGGAGACTAAGATATTGTACATTATACCGACGGAGATATTGTACATTATACCGACGGAGATATTGTACATTATATCCGACGGAGACTAAGATATTGTACATTATACCGACGGAGACTATTGTACATTATACCGACGGAGACTAAGATATTGTACATTATACCGACGGAGACTAAGATATTGTACATTATACCGACGGAGACTGAGATATTGTACATTATACCGACGGAGACTGAGATATTGTACATTATACCGACGGAGACTAAGATATTGTACATTATACCGACGGAGACTAAGATATTGTACATTATACCGACGGAGACTAAGATATTGTACATTATACCGACGGAGACTTATTGTACATTATACCGACGGAGACTAAGATATTGTACATTATACCGACGGAGATTGAGATATTGAACATTATACCGACGGAGACTAAGATATTGTACATTATACCGACGGAGACTAAGATATTGTACATTATACCGACGGAGACTAAGATATTGTACATTATACCGACGGAGACTAAGATATTGTACATTATACCGACGGAGACTAAGATATTGTACATTATACCGACGGAGACTGAGATATTGTACATTATACCGACGGAGACTAAGATATTGTACATTATACCGACGGAGACTGAGATATTGTACATTATACCGACGGAGACTAAGATATTGTACATTATACCGACGGAGACTTAAGATATTCTACATTATACCGACGGAGACTGTGATATTGAACATTATATCGACGGAGACTAAGATATTGAACATTATACCGACGGAGACTAAGATATTGTACATTATACCGACGGAGACTGAGATATTGTACATTATACCGACGGAGACTAAGATATTGTACATTATACCGACGGAGACTAAGATATTGTACATTATACCGACGGAGACTGAGATATTGTACATTATACCGACGGAGACTAAGATATTGTACATTATACCGACGGAGACTAAGATATTGTACATTATACCGACGGGGACTAAGATATTGTACATTATACCGACGGAGACTTAAGATATTGTACATTATACCGACGGAGACTAAGATATTGTACATTATACCGACGGAGACTTATTGTACATTATACCGACGGAGACTAAGATATTGTACATTATACCGACGGAGACTAAGATATTGTACATTATACCGACGGAGACTAAGATATTGTACATTATACCGACGGAGACTGTACATTATACCGACGGAAGATATTGACATTATACCGACGGAGACTACATTTGTACATTATACCGACGGAGACTAAGATATTGTACATTATACCGACGGAGACTAAGATATTGTACATTATACCGACGGAGACTAAGATATTGTACATTATACCGACGGAGACTAAGATATTGTACATTATACCGACGGAGACTAAGATATTGTACATTATACCGGCGGAGAATGAGATATTGTACATTATACCGACGGAGACTAAAATATTGTACATTAAACCGTGGGAGACATTCTATGTTTAACCGTCGGACAGTAAAGAACTGTACATATGAACACTAAAACGGACAAAAATTAACTTGCATTCAAAGGGACATATTGGTATGAATGAAACACGTTTCTTACCCTTAACCCAAAGGAAGGGACATATTATACATAATACCCACAGGAAGGGACATATTATACATAATACCCACAGGAAGGGACAAATTGTACATAATGCCCACAGGAAGAAACAAATTATACATAATACCCACAGGAAGGGACATATTATACATTATACCGATATGAAGGGACAAATTATACATAATACCCACAGGAAGGGACATATTATACATTATACCGACAGGAAGGGACAAATTATACATAATACCCACAGGAAGGGACATATACATTATACAGACAAGAAGGGACAAATTATACATAATACCCACAGGAAGGGACATATTATACATAGTACCGACAGGAAGGGACACATTATACATAATGCCCACAGGAAGGGACAAATTATACATAATACCGACAGGAAGGGACATATTATACATAGTACCGACAGGAACGGACAAATTATACATAATGCCGACAGGAAGGGACAAATTATACATAGTAGCGACAGGAAGGGACAAATTATACATAATGCCGACAGGAAGGGACATATTATACATAGTACCGACAGGAAGGGAAACATTATACATAATACTGACAGGAAAGGAATTATACATAATACCGACAGGAAGGGACATATTATAGTTAATACCGACAGGAAGGGATATTTTATACATAATACCGACAAGCGAGACATATTATATAAAATACCCAAAGGGAGGTACATGTTATATATAATACCCACAGGGAGGGACATATATATATAATAACAAAACAGAAGGCCATACTCACGAGAGAAAAATTATATATGATATCAACAGAGAGGGGCTTATTATAAATAATATCGACAGGAAGAGACAAATTATACATAATACCCACAGGAAGGGACATAATATATATAGTACCCACAGGAAGGGACAAAATAAACAAATTACCCACATGAAGGGACACATTATATGTTATATCCACAGGCAGGGACAAATTATACATAATACCCACAGGGTGGACAAAGGATACATCCACAGGACACATTATACATAATACCCACAGGACACATTATACATAATACCCACAGGAAGGGACAAAATAATACATAATACCAACAGGTGGCAACAAACCATTCATTATGCTAGTAGTGTAAGATATAAACAGACGGACAGGAACATTGTACGGACAAAAAAAGGACAAATCATACTTGTATACCGTCAGATTGAGACAAAAGTACCTCATGCCATAGTGTATAGGAGCAACAGCCAAGCGTCGGATATCAAATTTTACATTCGTTTTAAAATTGGCCTTATAAAATATATTTTGGATAAGACTAAAATTCAATATTGCAAACATAATTAAAATGGCTTAATTGTAAGGATCTTATAAAATATAATCAACAGTAATTTTGTTGGTGTCATTGCGCTACACTGGAGATGAAGTGCCAAAAAATAATAAAATTTTGCATGTGTGAATAATAGACAGAATATATATTTTTGTGTTAGATCGCGAACCATTTTTCATCCTGATGAGTCAGCGAATCCAGTAAGCATACTGGGTTTAGAAATGTGGGTTACTTGTGTTATTTTAATATTAAATTATACAGAAAATAAAATTTCCATTTCCGGTCGTAAGTATATCATTTGAGAGTGCCAAAACATGAATTTGTTTACTGTATGGTTTTGTTATTTACAGTGGATCATGCTCCCGAGGGCGTGACTGTGTGTACGTGTACAAATATGAGGGACAGAATTCAGTCAAGAGCACGATTTCCGTAAATACAAAAAGGTTTAGAGTTGCAATTACTTAATTAGCTGTGGAAAGTATTTCGTTTTCTTTAAATGTATTAAAAAATAAATAAAGTGATACATATATGGATTATAAACCTCTTTTCCCTGACGACTCCCGACAATGTATGTTTCTTATTATAGTTAGTTTGAGTGTCTGTGCTTGACCGTCATTTTGGTCCAATGGTATAAAAATGAGTTGCAGTTTACGAGTTACCTCCCTTCTTTTAATTAACGGACATATAGCAATTTGACGTTCCTGGAGAAAGCTACTAAGATACATACCAAGTCGGAAGAATACTTTCAATATGTTATATGAGGCGTCGCTATGTACTGATTATCCGCCTTTATTTACCAAAATGTAAAAGGTTTTCATGCTAAAATTTATAAAAAAAAAAAAAAAGAAGAAGACAAATTTGGAGTTCCGTTTAAGACTACTTTTAAATGTTAGTGTAACATTCCTTAAATCGTTGGATGAACTTTCACAATCGCTACATCAAGGTAAGCAAAGACAAATAAGTGACGAAATCTAAGAGTAAACGACATCAATGTGGAAATATGGGATACGATGTATGTGTTCAGTCTCATCATGGAGTAATTATCAGTAAATTAGCAGATTATCCGCTGTTAGTCGTCTACCGGGCAAGGAAAGATTATCAATAATTTTCAGGTCATTTATAATCCGAGTAATCTCGAGAGTGTACTCTGATAGTAGGTATTCCTTCTAACACAAGATGTGTGAATAGTTAGGTATTTATATCAAGATTGAACCCCAAAACACATGGCCTCAAACAAATAATAATTACAAAGAATGAAGTTTGTCCCAGAAATTTATTTTCGTTTTATTGTTTTATGTAGTTTAGATTTAGTATCAATTACGTATCCCTACTTCACCAAACAAATCATATTCGTAATTTGTTTTCAATAGGATAGAAGGAAGATGTTATGAATACGAGTATAATAGTAACAACTGGTACTGACAAAACAGAAATCACTCCATAAAAACGACACCTTGTACACGGAAGAGAAATTTTTTGACAAACTAAAACTTGTACGGTCTTAAACTAGTGAGGATATTTAGCTTTGATGCTATATGTTTTTTTGTTGAATATGAAATAATTATAACATCAAATCACAGCCATCATAACAAAGTGTGATTTAAAATAAACCTATATTCAATTTCACATGGACTTATCCTACCTTCGTGATCACGAAACATTTTTGTGTGAAACCGCTATCAGAAAACAAAATGTAAAAATTCTTCAACTTGGAATATAGCTGACCTTGTAAATGTACTTCGTAATACATTATTTCGTTATCCGAAGGCCCAATGTTACAGAATTAAAGACACAGACTTACCTATACCGAGAATCTTCCTCATGGAAAAGTCGGTCTGAGAGGAACACATGATGATAATTTCCAAAGAATCAAAGACCACAGTCACACTTACACACCGATATATTTCTAACACTCTTAATCAATACTGCTATTAACCAACAAGATTTAGCTCTTTTTATCTCCAAGATTTTGAGCAATTCTAATTTTGAGTAAATGGACAGAATTTCATTGGATCGCACTGATAAAAGTAAATAATTATATAAACATATTGTACCTATACTATCTGTGTATGTTTTTAGTAGGGTGTTTAATTAATACAATAAGCGGGCTCCGGTGACGTAAAGTGTCGTTGTGACAATAGAATTAGGGTAGGTACACTTAAACGCTAAGAATACAGGGAAACCATATCAGTATTGACCTTTGACGGGTATCAACACGTGACCGACGGCCCGGGGGTAAGGGATAACCACGGTCTAGTACACAGCAATATTTTTAATGTGGGTCCAGTTTGAGATGTCAAAGTTACACCGCCATATCTCACGTGGTGGTAATTAGGTAACAATGGCGTCTTTGTTTTGACATGATTGGTAAAACAATATCGAACAGGATTGCCTTTTTAATTACTTAATTGTCATAACATGAAGTGTTTCAATGAATTCTAGACGATATGATAACAATAACATAATTATATATTTTCTGTGTCCACTGTATCATCAGGATTAAACAAATGATAGTCATAACATTAATTCTTCTGTAGCTACACACCAATTTTTTTTTTATAACTAGTTTTCATTTTTTATTTCATTTTTTCTTTAAAAAGTTTCATTATTTAATCATTTTTCTTGAAATTATTAGAAATAATGAAGTCTTTTGGAGCTCAAATATTCCATAAAGCAAAACCACGATCTAAGCAGAAAAAATAGTACGGTCAAATGAATTGACAACAGGGTCCAATCCACAGTAATCGGAATCTGAAATGTGGGCTGATCATACCACCGACATAGATCTAATGGAAGTCCGTGATTATAGTAGATATATATATATATATTCTTGGTTTGGTAAATGAAGATCAAAACAGTAATAAAGGGGAACAAATTAACAATGACAAAGCATGTTTGGTGATCATAACATTATATTGGTTTCGTATAGAAAATAAAGACCGGGTATGCCAAAATTCATTTTTAATATCTTCACAACAGCCACGATATACAATGTAAGAAAGATAACTCTCTCATTTGGTGAATTTAACTTTCACAACAAAAACAATTCAAAAACAATTCTCGAAAAAAACTTTCTCAATAAATCCAACAACAGACTCATAATCACACACTATTCGAACATTTTTTCCGAGTATGACTAAAATATTGCAATGTCTAAAAAAAAAAAAAAAAAATACATATATTTAATTTAGTTTTAGTTATAATTAGTGTCTAAAAATAAATTCAAAAGCATGCATTTCCTACAATCAGCTGTAATGTACTATTTAAGCCTAGTGATAAGTGTCAATGTTGAAACCACACACCCGATAGTTTGATTATATGTGTATATATTTATAAACTCCAAATCACATGCAGTGTTGATGACTTTCAATAAATGAGGGTGTTTAGTTGTGTATTGAGGGACACGTTTTTAAAATAACTTTCAGATCCCAATAACTTTCTAAACATTTAACATTGTTTTGTCCATTTGTTGGGTTTAAGGCCACATGAACGGACACGTTATTTTAAGGAGCTGTCACCTTGTAGCATCTTGTGGTTGATATAATATTTCATTATTTATAAAGAAACTGTATAATTACTTTTGATATTTATTTTAATCATTTTTCCTCGTTTTTACTGTTCCTGTTTTTCATTATAGCTATTTTTGTCAATAACTTGAAAATTAGATGAATGACCTCTGTGTTTGAGGTATGATAGTTACAATTAAGTTGATTTTTTTCAAGTGATGATCACAATTTTAAATGATTATTGGTCAAACCCTATCACAAATGATAATTGGTGAATTGTTTTGAAACTAAGGAAGAAAGCAGCAGATTAAAACGTTCATGAATAAATAAATTAAAGGTTTAATCATAGTCATACCCTCTCTAAAGTGATGGACAAAAACTAACAAAATATATATTATTACTCCAGACTTAAATGTAACTGATATCTGAATATATATTTATATACATTGTATATAGAAACTTTGATATATATATAAAACAAATTAAGAAACTAATATACCATGCAACAATTAACACATGAACACATCACAACTTATACAACTCTGTACATTACAGATAATACAAAACAATATCACTTACATCTTACATAATGTAAAAATACCATATACCAAGCAACATATTTTATTTATATTACATATAATGTACATAATTTAATATAACAAAAATATCACTATCATATTATTCACCTTTTCTCAGTACATAAAATGTACATTATCAAATAACTTACATATTTCCTATATTATACATGATAGGTATAATATTATCTCAATCACAAAACTGAGTAAAAACACTGACTAATATTGATCCTACCTATCTTACTTTTCAGACTGATTATGATCAATTTATGTAATTCTGCATCATTTAATCAAACCCTTTTTAATAATTCCTGTAAAATTCTGATCTATTATTGTTATTTACTAAATCATTAACAGTGTTCATTCATGAAAATATACTTGTACTAGCACCCCTCATCTCAACTATGGTACTTCAACTCTATCTCAAGCACTTTTATCCCAGCAACACCCGACCATTCTAAACCATTCCTGTCCCAACAACACCCAACCCATTCTAAACCGTTACCGTCCCAACTACACCCAACCCATTCTCAACCACTCCCATCCAAATCTCAACCACTCCTATCCTTCCCAGGTACTCCCAGCCCAATTTCAACTACTCCTGACCCAACCACCCTGATTCAATCTAAATCACTCCCTACCCAACCATTCCTACCCTAATCTCAACTACTATCACAACCACTCCTAGCCCCATCCCAAACAACTCCCAAACCAATCTCAATCACTTTCTACCCAACCACTCCCATCCCAAACAACTCCCAACCAAATCTCAATCACTCTCTACCCAACCACTTCTACCCCAATCTCAACTACTATCACAACCACTCCTAGCCCCATCCCAAACAACTCCCAACCCAATCTCAATCACTCCCTACATACACACTTCCATCCCAAACAACTCCCAAACAACTCCCAACCAATCTCAATCACTCCCTACATACACACTTCCATCCCAAACAACTCCCAACCAAATCTCAATCACTCTCTACCCAACCACTTCTACCCCAATCTCAACTATCACAACCACTCCTAGCCCCATCCCAAACAACTTCCAACCCAATCTCAATCACTCCTATCCCAACAACTCCCATTCCAAACAACTCCCAACCCAATCTCAATCACTCCCATCCCAACCACTCCCAACTCCATTTCAACTACTATCCCGCCCACTCTTAGCCCCAATCTACCCCGCCCACTCTTAGCCCCAATCCACCCCGCCCCCTCTTAGCCCCAATCCACCCCGCCCACTCTTAGCCCCAATCCACCCCGCCCACTCTTAGCCCCAATCCACCCCGCCCACTCTTAGCCCCAATCCACCCCGCCCACTCTTAGCCCCAATCCATCCCACCCCCTCTTAGCCCCAATCCATTCCGCCCACTCTTAGCCCCAATCCACCCCGCCCACTCTTAGCCCCAATCCACCCCGCCCACTCTTAGCCCTAATCCATCCCACCCCCTCATAGTCCCAATCCATTCCGCCCACTCTTAGCCCCAATCCATTCTGCCCACTCTTAGCCCCAATCCAAACAACTCCCAATGCAATCTTAACTACTCCCTTTCCCATCTCAACTTTAACCTCATTCCAACCTCTCCGATCTCCATCTTCTGGGCTACAATACAGGACAAACTAAGATATTTTGGTGATGCTACCTCTGTTCCATTACTTTATACATCTAGCAATAAGCCATTGGGGTTAGCACATAAAGTGTCAGACTGGGATTATCATGTATAAAGGACATCAAAATATGATATTTCTGGACATTCAGATGAGTAAAAGATATTGTATGGCTTACAATCATACATGTCATTTTATAACTGATGTGTTTATACATTCTTACAATCTCAATAACAAGATTCAAGAGTAAGAATTCACAGAGATGAGTATTTAAACAATTTTCAATATGTATTTTGATTATTATATGTACATGTACCAGTGGCAAGGTTGATGATAGGTTCTATTGAACTTAAGCAAAAGGTATGGCTATACAGGTTCTGACCTTCCTATATTTCACTACAATATAATTTACTGTAAGAAAATCTCAATTTTATATACAACATGTACATTATAATGATAATGGAGGTCATGTAATTGCACAGTTAGTTGGACATGTAATAAAAGACATTCAAATCAAAGAAAATAAAAATATTAATTAAAGATTTGGTTTTTCTTAAACAACGTAAATGTACCAGGAAGGAAACTCTAACTAGATGAATCAATACTACAAGAGTTACTTTACTGTATTATGAAGCTCTTTGAGACATCTGGAGATTCAGTTTTTACACGGACAGGTACATTATACTACAGCTAACAATAGGAAACGACAAACAGGAAATGCGATCCAGACTAATTAGCAGTAAAAATGGGTAGCATCTTCTATGGAAGAACTCTGTACTGATATAGGACTTGCCTGTTCTTTCGTTCTTCTGATACTGTATCTTACCTACATAATTTATTGAAATGGACGACTGTCTTCCTACACAATTAATTTGAAGTTACATTTCATCCAAGTTATTCATAATTTATTAAACTATTGAAAATATGAAGTGAAACGTAAATCTGTTTATAACAGGACTGGGTTTATATTAGCCTTTATGAGCTTCTTATTAAACAACGTTAAAAAAAAATTATCATTTCTCCCAATAGCTTAGTACATATATAGAAGTTTTGATTAAGGACATAAACAGAAATTTTAAGATGAAGTATAGCGAATCTGATATACTACAGCTACAAAATCAAATATAAACACTTTTCTACAAATCATAATTTAAAGCTACAAGTCTATTAACACGAAGTACAAGACAATAATCACTGGTTCACAGTTTGTTCGCAGGGTTGATCACTCCACGGACAGTCGCAGAGTCTGTGTGTGGTAGCTGGTGGCTACGTAAACCTCACTGAACGTCAAACAAGATAAAAGGTTAATTACAGAAATGTATCACATGACAATGTTATTTATAACAATATATCACATGATGTGTTCATTAGTAGCATAAGTATCACATGAGATATTTATTTATCACAATGTCTGTATCACAAAACAAAATAGTCAGAATAATTCTGATGTTCCATCAACTTTTTTATATCGACCAAGAATCAAAGAATATCAGAACTCCAGCACTACATAAAGTGAGAGAAATAAGTGACCAGCACCTGAGTTGGCATTCAAATGATGACTGTGGAAAGCAATTGTCATTTTCACATGCATATCATTGCGCATGGATCAAAAGATAGAATGTCAGAATATTTAGACTAATGACAAAACTGGTTTCTCAATCATACTGCATGTCTGTTGAATTATGATTCAAAATATTTCTCCTATCACATTCCACATGTATTTTACAATGGATAAAAGTTCAAAGCTTTTTATAGGTACACCAATGACAGTACAACATCAAGGTGTTACTTGGCAAGATACCACATGATCCGTTCTCTGATGAAGTAAAAAAACAGATCACATGACCTGTGCTCTGATGAAGTACACAAACATATCACATTACCTGTGGTCTGATGAAGTAAACAAACAGATCACATGATCTGTAGCAATGCTCTAATGAAAGTTGCAAACAGGTCATATGACCAGTACTGTAGCTAGGCTTTGATAAAGATTACAACAGATATTATGACCTGTAATGAAGCTATGCTCTGATAAAGTATACATACTGATCACATGCTCTGAAGCTATAACATGATGCAGTATATACAAAACAGATCATATGACCTGTGGCTATGATATATATAACAGATCACATGACCTGTGATTATGTTCTGATGAAGTTATTTGTACTGGTTAATCACTGACAGATATTCCTTATCTGGGTAGAATGCCACACACATACTACGCAGTAGTATAAAGACATCCTGCAGACAATTGCTTTCATTCTTAACAATGTCACATGCTGTCTGAATTTGGCTTCGATACTGTTGATACTGCTTATTGGACTTCAGTGCCTGAAGAGCTGCAATCTCAGTCTTTGTCTGAGTGGTGTTGGCAAGTGGTTCATTTGGCTGCATGCGCAGTAGTGTGTCTCCATATATCTGTGAGGACACCATTGCTGACAGACTGCGAGCAATGACACGAAACCTGGAAGGAAATAAAATATAACATAATTACAACTCAAGAAAAAATATTTTTCATGAGTTATAACAAGATACTGTCAATAGTCTGGTAAATAATACAGGATTGACATTAATCTTTAAAAAAAACTGTAAAAGATACAGGTCAACTTCATAATTTGCTGAACAAGCACTTAATACAACAAATCTTGATAAATCACTGATACATGTATAATCTTTGTAAATACCGGTATATAGAAATATATAAAACACTGACTTATCTGATATAAAGATTACTGGTCAATTTTAGCATCAGCAATGTAAATACCGGTATATAGAAATATATAAAACACTGACTTATCTGATATAAAGATTACTGGTCAATTTTAGCATCAGCAATGTAAATACCGGTATATAGAAATATATAAAACACTGACTTATCTGATATAAAGATTACTGGTCAATTTTAGCATCAGCAACGTAAATACCGGTATATAGAAATATATAAAACACTGAGTTATCTGATATAAAGATTACTGGTCAATTTTAGCATCAGCAACATAAATGCTATGATAGGTATACCACTGAAGTATTATCAACGCAACATTTCTAGATAACAAGATAATAATCAGAATGGAACATTTTTCTTAGCCTGTATGGGTGAACAATGAAGTATGTAATATATACTCATGCTTAATGAAGTGTTACCAAAGTCAATGGAGCAGAAAAATATAGATTAAAAAAAACTAGCTATGATTTGATTTATAACTGTGGATACAGACACTATGATCAATATAGAGTACACATATCAATGATATGTACCCTAAACATATATTCTCAAGTTCACAGGAATTTAACAGATATGTAAAAATGCTAAATCAAGGTTATCTGTATCACTAACGACCGTATCCTTGGAATCCGTTACAAATCTGTATCACTAACGACCGTATCCTTGGAATCCGTTACAAATCTGTATCACTAACGACCGTATCCTTGGAATCCGTTACAAATCTGTATCACTAACGACCGTATCCTTGGAATTCGTTACAAATCTGTATCACTAACGACCGTATCCTTGGAATTCGTTACAAATCTGTATCACTAACGACCGTATCCTTGGAATCCGTTACAAATTATAACTCTTACTTTGTTGACAGTGTGGATCGTTTGCCCAAACCGATAGCTCCGAGGATCCCAGTTGAGGCTCGGTCCTCTCCCATCTGATGTAGAGCTGATACAAAGGCATTGAGAGTCTTGATGCAGTATGCATGCTTAGTTCCAAAGTCAAGCTGTCGCAGCACAAGATCCAGCAGCTTAAAGCACAGCAGCATCAGCTTGGATTCGTTTTCAGCACTACAAATCAATTGGAAAACAAAGAATTTTTTTTGATGTTTATTATAAATCATAAGATGTTTCTAAAGATTTGGAATAATTTGTCTTTACCTCCTACCTGTAATTCCATGTTGGTGGGGTATATAGTGACGTCAACCATTCTAACTATTTAAATTGCCTAATATGTAAAATCAGCCTTGGTCTTATTCATGAAATAAAAAAAGTCACTGCAACATCTGTCAGTGTTCATAAAATTTATAAATCACTCCTACCCCCAACAACAAAGCTCAACTCAAATAAATCACCCTTTCATTTCATGACCACTAGGATGTTTGTTCACATGACTCAAACTGATCATGTAAGGGACATGAATATTTGGCAGGTTTAGGGAGGGTTTAGTTTGTAGAAGTGAAGCAATTTGACCAGTGCGGACTTGGATAGATTTCAACAGATTCTGTTTTGCATATTACATTAACCATTTCATTCAGTTTCAGCATTTACACTGGACATGTCCAAATGAAAACAGAGAGAAAGGTTTTATAGAGTAAAAATATTTCCATAAAGTGAAAAATATGTGATATTCTTTAGGCAGTTTTAGTCTTATAGAAATCTAGAAATGTATGCATTGCCTTGCAATCTCGGAAGTGACGTAACCTTACATACGACCAACATAATCAGTATATCAATATGAAAACTTTTCTTTTGTAACAAGAATCAATTAATATTTCCATTCTGTATCGATTAATATTTCCATTCTGTATGTGTTAAAGTAACATTATTCCATAACTCACGATTAAGATGTAAAACTTTCTGACTCTGCACCAGTACTAATCTTACAACTGTCACCACAGGTGTTGATTTCACAATTCCCTAGTCAGAACCCAGGCCTTGATTGTTTAGGTAAGGCTGGTTTCATAAGTGATTTTCATTATATATTAATCATTTAGGACACAAAATCGTTTTGGTATTAGGAATTGAGAGGGATCGGTAAGGGTAAGGTTTTTATTATTATAATTAAGAGGGCGTTATTCTGGGGAAGTTGCATTGTATTATCTAATATCAATGTAAAGTGTAATTCACGGCTATATAATTGACTTACGTTGGCTTAGCTTTATTGATCCAGGTCAATATAATGTTTACAAGGTTTGAGAATTGTCCAGCATCTAGACAGAGGGGTTGCTGAAGGACACAGTAACCATATAACAATAGATAGGACTCTTCCTGTAGGGCAGTGTCCAGGAACTCTTCGGTATTTAAGTCTGGTATCTGTATAGCAGCTAACACCTGGTCCCATCCTCCACCGGCAGTCTGGTCCATACCTACAACAGGAAATCGTTTACAGGATGTAACAGATCTGTCAGTAAGGTTTCTGGGGTAATTATAACTTTGTATATGTTACGTATGTTATACTGTTAAATATTTTTTTTAATATTTGTACTTTCTGTCAAATCATTAAAATAGAATAAATAATTAGTGTAAGATGTAAATAATCCAGGTCCCCTGCAAATAAATTGATGAAATTCTGCAAAATATCAAAAGGGACCTTGACATTGAACCTGGAGACAAAATCACACATTTATCATATTTGATCATTGGTCTTCTTATCCATTCTGATCAAAATCAGAAAATAAATCAAGTTGTTAGAGTAATAACTATGAAGCAAGAAGCAATAGGCAGGACGAGATGCCAGAAAGGATGAATATGATTCTCTATGTACTCCTGTAGTACTCAACCAATTCCTGAACAACAAAACGAAAGATGGCATAAATATAAAAAAATAATTCAATGAATACAAATCAATATCAATCTTCTCTCTCCAATAACTTGACGATGATTATACTAGCATTCCAACAAAACATATCAGACCTTCAAATATAATGTCTCTTCAAATGAATGTCCTAAAATCAGAGTTACATCCCTTGAAGTATTTGAATGCTTTATTAACTTACCTCCCTTAAAATACACATGGATGCATTCTTCCACAATGCATACAATCTGTGAGTGGGAGGCAAGACAACGAGATGCAGCCTTGACACAAGGCAACAGGAGAATGCTCTGTGGTGATGACTGCAGCCACTCGATGACCGTTGTCATGACAACATCCAGGGAACTGTTTTCTGGGTTACAGTTGTTTAGTAAACCAAAGATTTCTTTTACCAAATCTAAGGTTTCATCTCGTTGCATTCTCAAATCCACCACTTCAACAAATTATGTGTCATATCAAATTGAATCCTACAGAAATCATATTTTCTTTACTAACTTCAGAGTGAGGAATGCAAATGAATTGAAATCAGAAACCTTAAAATTCTGTAAGTACATTGCTGAATATGTATGAGAACAAGGCTTCTATTTCCATTTGCTTGTGCAAGTTATTAAATTACAATTTACTAGTGTTATGCTCTTCTGATTGATTCAATGTATGCCAGAAAGTTCATCACTGTCAAAATTCAAGTTTAAGATCAGGAAGAGGGCTTTTATAGGCTTAAGCCTGTTGCAAAATACCCATTGAATTTTTTCAATAAAATCTTCGTGATATGAAAGTAATTGCAAAGAAACAGCAATAAAATAATCATGAAAAACAAAGTTTCAATAAAAAGGGAAAATACTGAACATTATATACTTTCACCATGGCCTATTTCAAATACATCGTATGACCCGTTTTATTTCCTAAATGATAAAAAAATTTCATTTGTGAATGCAATTAGGCTATAACTACCGTAATTTTCCACCTGAAATTTTTCTGTTTTTCATACAGCAACTTTAACCTTGACCTTATACCTTATGTAACTTTATAAAGTTATTATTTGTTCCCTTTTTAAACAAATTTCAATGTGACTTGAGTATGTAATGTTGTAATACAATACCTGAGGCACTGACAGTCTCTACTTCAGTCATGAGGTTGAGGATGGCAGTAGACAGAGTCCCCAAATTAGTGTTGGTCGAAAAAGTACACTGACACAGGAGCTGGACGACTGTGTGGACATAACACTGACGCTTGGAGGACAATTCGGATGTCCACTGACTGGAGTAGTGGACACTGAATCCTGATGCTGCTTTGATCAATCTGTCAAGAGTGTTTGCATTCTATACTGACAATGATAAATTAACAAATGTGTGAAACTGTGATCATTACCGACAAGATAAAAACTTTGGCACTATTGTCTCTGAATGAAGAAATAACACAATCCCTAACAGGATGATATCTGCTTTATCAATCATGTTTCTTATCCGATCACAGAAATACTGATAAAAGGAAATTAAAACATGACATGTATGTACTGACCTTATGCCTAGAGCAGTTGATGAAGACCTTTCCACCAACACACATGCTGGGTCACAAGTCTGAAGCAGCCAATTACAGGCATGGCGGAAACTGTCAGAGGTCAACATCTGCCAATCATATTTCTCTGCTATCTGCATCTTCTGTTCAAGCATGGGGATCTAAAGCAAGCCACATATACCATTTTAGTTAAGTATATTAGTTTATATATACATTCAGTATTTATTTCACTATCATTATCATACTGTATTGTTGTTTAAATTTACAGGGCTAATATTTCGTTGCTGACCCAGTTACTGCTACTTCGAAGGGATTAAATTTCGCTTTTGTCTACACACTGATATCTATGTACACAGCCAATAACATTAATGTCCTTATATTTTGCTTCTCTGTTAAAAGGTCACTTGGTATTTAATCTCACATATGTTTTATGACTGCAAATATAGTAAAATTAAATAATGCACAAATATTACCAACTATACAGTAACACAGTCATTACAATAATTCATAAACAGTTCAAATTGTATGTGACTGGTATGGATATAAACCAACAGTGTAAATTTATCACAACTCTCTTCTCATTTTACATAACATTGGTGCATGTAATAAATATTGAAGAATTGTCTCTTTTCCTTTGTGCATGAATCCAATATTTCTTAATAAGTTGTTGAATCACAGAGTTTTCCACAACGGTACATATTTAAAGTAACACAAAACCTGTCATTTCTGATAGTCATCCATAGATTTATTTAATTATCTACCTCAATGTGTTTCTGATCGCCAAAACTCTGGGTGAAGAGGATGAGGACACAGTTCAGAACCTTGCCCTGCCCCTCCCCAGGGAAGGATTCCCCTGGGTAAGACTGACTGTAGAACTGAAGTACACTAGTCCAGTCCACCTGGCATACAATGTGGGCCAGTAACTCAAAACTTTCAGCACTGTTGGTGTCCTTAAGCTGTGAAAGAATAGTAGTTACTTATCAGAAGATCATATGACTTGTACGGTACAGGGTAATAGAATGATTCGAAAGAATGGTGTCATTTTATTTAACCCATAGATTTGGAGTGGTCATGTGACTTGTATGGTACAGGGAAATAGACTGATTCTAAAGAATGGTGTCATTTTATTTAACCCATAGATTTGGAGTGGTCATGTGACTTGTATGGTACAGGGAAATAGACTGATTCTAAAGAATGGTCTCATTTTATTTAACCCATAGATTTGGAGTGGTCATGTGACTTGACAAGGAGGTCTGAAATTCATTTTGTGATATCTACCTGTTGTAATCTAGATCCAAATGAATGCAGCAGTCTTTTTTTTGCTAATTTAGTCATATTGTTTACAATCTAGTGACCTTAAATCAAGACAATGTCAGTGTTATCAGTGCTTTAAAAAAAAAAAAAAAAAAGGATTATTAGGAAACGGTACCTTAGATTTCTTCCAAAGTTTCTAAAGTGTCTTAAGAACTGCATTTTGAAAATGACCTTAAATCTAGACAATGTCAGTGTTATCAGTTCTTAAAAAAAGGATTATTAGGAAACGGTACCTTAGAATTCAAAGTTCCAAAGTTTCTAAAGTGTCTTAAGAACTGCATTTTGAAAATTTGAAAAATCTATCACTGTAGGTACCTGCACCATAGAGTGTAGGACTGGAATGCTTGGAGTGAGTCTGTCCCAGGGCAGGTGTCGTAGAACCTCTGTGTAAACCTGTGTCACATGTGAGGGTGTTGTCCTAGTACAAAGCACACATGCAAAGTACTGCCACACCTCTGAGAGGATGTCTCGCTGGTACGGCACACATACATCTGTTAAAGTCAACAAGGTTTTCATCACAACACTATTTATGTCCTTGTTTACAAGGGTATCCTACAAACATACATATACAGCAATTCCATTGTCAACATAAAAATCAACATCACACTAATTCTGATCTTCCTTATGAGTGTAAATAAATGTCAAATAAAAATTTCCCCAATATATAGTAGAAACATCTTCACAATATTTTGCTTATAATTATGTTTAATTAGATAAAGATATGAGCCTTGATGTGTCATAATGACCATCAAAATAAAAAGCAGGAAAGCCATAGTTAAAAGATACCTTTACAAACATATTCCTATCAAACATATAAAAATTCTAAAATATATCAATAAAATATAAAAATGAATTTTTCACTTACACTGGAAGGTTGTGAAGATAGTAAACACCACGTGTCTGAAGGCCTTCACCAGCTCTTTACCAGACTCTGCATCAGCCTGTATCCATGGAAACAGAGGTCCATCCTGGTTGGAGTGAGTTTGTAACCAGGGGTTAAAGGTTGCTAGTGTTGTCTGCCAAAGCAAGTCCAGTACTGCCAACAGAGAAAGCAATCATGTCATTTGAAATGGCTTTGGATAATGTTGTAGTTTTTATTTCTAAATATGCTCTCATCATTTATGCTGATTTTACTAAGTTACTAAGTTAACCTTGAAATTGTTGAGTCAAACAATTGATCACAAGTCAATATACCTTGGTTATAGTTGTCATCTTGTATCTGTGATGCCATCTTGTGAGTGAGGCACACCAACAGATCCCTGATGATACACTTTAGGTAGGGGATGTATTGCTGTAGACTGGGGTAGAGGCCAAACATGGACATGTCTGATGAAGACATCCTCAGCTGGAGGTAGTAGGTACCCATCCACTGGAGCACCTCTTGAACCTGCATCATGATGAACATTAATGTATGTAAAGAGGGAATCTTATACACAGGATGTACAATTATCTTCCTGACAATCATGATATAATTAAGTACTATCTTGTGTAGCATATATGCACATATACTCAAAATCTAAAAGCACTATCTGATATGTTCTGATGAGTTCGACGCTTACTACCCAGGTAAGTATAATTCTCTCTCTGTATCTACCTGGTCAGTTGTGAGGTCGGTGGTCAGTACAACTTCCTGTTCATTTTCCTTACTAGGTGACCCTTCCCTTTGCACCTCTTTGTTTCCAAAACAGGCCATATGTAAGAGGTTCCAGCACTTTACGTGGATCTGTTGGTTGTCTGAACCTGTCGAAAAATAATCATGTGATACTCTTTATATAAGTTATAATTTAAATTGAGAAGCCATAAGAATTGGACTGGGACTCTGATCTTGTGAATCATCAACACACTTGTTTTAATTATTACATATTCAGTTCTACATTTGGACATATAAAGAATGATATTTCTCATTTTCTATTTCTGTAATTACTTATCTCTCACTGTATTTCACTGTGGTCAGGTATGAGGAATTTGACAAAAAATACCGTAATTTACTTGGAACATTCAATTAAAAATGAAAATATGGATAAGTAAAAGGACAGTAACAATCACCTGAGTTCTATTATGTCTAAAACTGCCATTTTTGTTGTTGAAATATGTAATTAAAAATGACCTGAATTACACTGTATATGAAAAGTGAATGTAAGCTGTGTATAATATTAAAGTAACACCAATGATAATAATTCTAACAAAGTTTGAATTAGTATCAAATTTTAAAATAAAGCCCTAAAATATAATTTTCTTTCATACATGTCCATGTTAGTTGATTATAAAATATGATAAAAGTAAACTTAATCCCCATTTCTGGGGAAATAGAGAACACTGGGGTCACAGAATGCACAATATGGTAAAACATCTTCAGATTCCTCCATCAGGCTATATCTGATTCTATCATATTGGCACCACCCCTCAGGTCTCTGGGGGTCAGCCAGGGTCAATAGGTGACTACCATCAAAGTACTATAAGATACTAGTAACTCTTACCAAATTTGAATTATTTTGAATGGCAATCGGTTTTTCTATTATAATAGAAGAAAGAGTAAATTCTTCCCTTCTCTAGAGGGAAATTCGAAACCCTGAGGTCATAATATTCACAATATTGGTAAAGCACCATAAGAACCTACCATATTTCAGTCTTGAAAAGAAGATTTTTTGAAATTTCAAGCAATCTTATTCTTTTGGTCCTGCATATGAGCCTTTGGGGGGGGGGGGGGGGGGGGTGTGTGTGTCTAAACAGCTAGGGTCAATAACTGCATACCATCAAACTGCCATCCAATACAAGATATTCCAACCAAGTTAGTTATTTCCAATGGAAATTATGATAAGTAAATTATGTTCAAAAATGCAAGATTCCAACATAAACCATTTTACCCTCTCCCCAAGGGAAAATGTGAAACCCTGCTATCATCTAATTCATGATTTTGATTCAGCATCTTAAGACTCTTCTATTTAAGAAAAGTATTTGTTTTTAATATATCTTGGTTTTGAGAAGATCTTTTTTAAATTGTTAGTCAGCAAAAGTGAGAATATGTATACCATTTAACAACAATTCCACAATAATACTGACCAAGTTTGAATTATTTCCAATGAAAATCAAACAAATTATGCTAAATATCAATATAGCATGGGACACCTTTTAACCAACAAAGGTTCCTGAGAAAGTTCAATGAAAATGGCCTTGTGGTTTGTGAGAAGAAGTTGAAATTGTAAATTGTTTAGAGTCACACAACTGGTAACAGATGAAGCACAATTGATGACAACAGGCAAAAAGCAATAAGAATAGGTCACTCAGGACTTTATCTAAGGTATATTTGCTGAATCAATGACTATACACCAGTACTTGTGACTGATCAGCTACCTACCCTGTAATAGTATATTCAGGACCACCATGACATTGCTTGGAAATCTGTGTTGGAGCAGCTTGTTCAGATGTGTACAGTAAATCTGAAAATATAAAAGTTTTTTTAAGAATGACCTTGAATATTCCCTGTGTGTTTGTATGTAAATCTCCAAACTGGAAGAAGTATATAAAACATCGGGACAATCCAATCTGAAAAGCAATCTCCAACAAGCCCCTTTGGTTAAGAAGCATTGTATGAAGTTTGAGTCTAACTGTCCACAGAAAACTCCAGAAATCACACAAAACCAATTTTCTTTTCACAGCTACCATGACCTTGACTTTTGACCTTTTGACACAAGCAAGTACCATTGGTAAGGTTATTGTTTCAATTTGAGTTGTCCTAGGGAAACTGATTTTTTTATTAAAAGTAACTGACCTTGACCTTTGACCTTTGAAGATGAAAAGCAATCCAAAGTAAGCACTTTCAATAAGAAAACACTGTATAAAGTTTAAGCTTGATCTACTAGCTTTTGCTTGCTGTCTGGGTTGGCCACACAACTGCATATACCATAAACACAAGGTTATGTTTACTGTTTGGGTTGGCCACACAGCTGTTCATACCTCAAACACTAACTAACTTAAGCTTGCTGTCGGAGTTGGCCCCACAACTGTACATATCTTGAACACCAGCTTATGTTTGCTGTCTTGGTTGGTCCAACAGCTGTACATACCTCAAACACTAGCTCATGCTTGCTGTCTGGGTTGGCCCCACAGCTATACAAGGCCCGTCCTAACACCTCTCCATATCGTTTTATCTCTGTCTGGGCTGGAGTTGCCTTTGTCATCCATTCGTCGATGTCAAACTATCAACAGAACATCTCAAATCATCACAGATATAGAGTAGATCACTTACTACAATAATTATGTCTCTTTGGCTTTTCAAAGTGAAAGCTGTATTATATAACAATATAAAGAAACCATATGATCTGTAGAATGATTCACAACAATTTAAAACTGATTCTTTGAAATTTGTAATCAAATCAACATGTTTAAGTTTTACCTTCTTTCCAATGAGAAGTCACTGAAAAAATATTGGAAATCAACCACTGTACAGAGTATGATCTGGGTGTTCACACAGTGATTTATAACGAAACATATTGTCGTTAATCTTAATCAAAATCCATCATTACTTGTATGAGATGAGGTCAGTTCTTAAAACATCCATACTCTACAAACTTCATTTCTGATTTGACACCAGTTCCTATAGTTGGTGAATTTATCAAATGCACTATCAAAGCTGGTACTGTTTTTCTTGCATAGACATATATTCTCCGACTCGATATCACATGACAAGGAAATATTATTTTGCTGGCATTGCTGCAGAATTGATATATATATTGATGGGCTAATTATAGGAAAATGCAAGAAAAACCTGTAATACTAAACATCTTGAATGATAGTCAAATAAACAGGTGTTTATGGCCAAGTTTTACCTTTGTAAGGAGTGTAAACACAAGGTGAGGGGCCTTTTGTTGTAGGACCTGAACCAGGCGTTCATACATGGTCACATAACGATGGGCACTGTTGAGTGGGATGAAGTGTGGTGACATGTGGCCAGCCATAGTTGGATTGTCCAATGAAAACTGCAGCACAAACTCTGTCTGACTTGCATTTTGTTGTATAAACTCCTATAGGCAACCAAGGAAACATTTTAATAAAGTATAGCATTAATAGTATAGATCTCATTTTTCTTTTAAATCAGAAATCTGCATTGTATTTAGTATACTTTACACATGTCACTGAAATTGACCTTGACTTTGTTAAAGTCATTCTAATTAGTATCTCTCTTTTTGACATTTAGTTACATGTTATAGACAGACCAATCAAAATATATATGTTGTAGTAACTCATTTCAGATACATGATACAACCTCTAATTCACATATCAGTATGGTAGATATACCCTTAAATGTATAGACAGATAGATGAATCATCACTACTTTATTCTGAATTTTTTTCTAGGAGCAGAATAGAAATGGGTTATTGAACCACAAAGGTACCTTTCCAAGTAAGTCCATACAAGAAGAAAAGAATTGTCGAGTCGGTGGGTAAAACTGAATATCATGGTTGAATGATTCTGCCAGGTGAAAGAACAATGAGCATGCCACATCATTGTAGTAAGACAATCGGGCATCATCTGTACAGCTTCGGGATAGTTTCACCAACATTCTACAAAGTTATGCATTTATTGATAGTTTCACCGACATTCTACAAAGTTATGCATTTATTGATAGTTTCACAGACATTCTACAAAGTTATGCATTTATTGATAGTTTCACCGACATTCTACAAAGTTATGCATTTATTGATAGTTTCACCGACATTCTACAAAGTTATGCATTTATTCAATAGATTTTACTTATTCAAAAGTAATCTCCATATCACAGGTTGAATGTTTTGTAATATGTCACACCTGAGGCAGGAACTTATGTCTCAAACATACCCTTCCAGTAGATCTTGTAAAAATCAAGTTGGTTTACTTGCACAGAGAAGTCTACACAATGTAAAACTAAATGTGACACCATGATAAAAATTATAGTATTACAACTGTCAAGCATGGAAGTATTCACATTACAATAACTTTAAAAATGTCTATTAATACATTAACTTATATCTATGCAGCAATAATTGCAAACCAAGTTTTCCAACTTATATTAATCACTCTTGTTGACCAGGATGGAAGTGCATGGAGGGGCTTAACTTTTTCGATCCGTTCCAGGTATTGATTTCCGAATGTAAAGGTGAAAGGTGAGTGCATTTCTACTTTGCCACCTGCCATCCAACCGCTTGCCACAATGTCTATCAGAGAGGTATACCGTAAACAATTGTTGTGGACTGACTACTTACGTGATGGCATTCTCTACGTGGACAACAGACACACAAACATTCTGTGGGGGAGGATTGACTCCCTCTATCAACAGCTGTTTAAACTCGGCTCGGTTCTCATCAGTCTGTCTCTGGACCACCTCATCTGTAGCCTTTTCCCTGATCTGGTGAATCAACAATGGGAAGATAACTACTGCTTGCCATTATTAAAACATTATTAATCATTTGTGTTCATGATTGCTTTAAATTGACAATAAGCATTACTTGATGTGTTTTAATATTTATAAATTTAACAGTTTAACAGTAATAATATTTTCTTCTAATAGTCTAGGATTTGAGATGAAATTTATAGAGATTTAACACAAAGTTCTTACTACATATTATAACAAATTCATTGGCATTAGAGAAACTTTAACCTTTACACTGCTAAAAACCAGTACCAATGTTATGACATAAAACTTAAGTTCACTCTTAATATGACAAATGGTATTGCTCACATTAACAATGACAACAGCTGGGTTAGAACACTTGTGTAAGGGGTTGATGGAACTCTTACACTCTATGGTGACCTTCACCTGAAACATTAATCATAACTAGATATTACCAGAAAGATGACGTATAAATATTTATTTGCTTGCTTGCTCTCTTTTAGTTGCTTGTTAAGTCTGTTTGTTTGAATTATGTGATCATGAGTTTTTAACAGTTATTGTAATGTAAAGTCAAGTATTTAAGTTCTAAAATTATGACATTGGATACAAGATAAAAGAGAAATTATGACACAACCTGGACATTCCACTTAGTCATCATATTCAGGCAACAACACATCAAAGGTATCATGGGTATCAAAGACATAGCACAGAAAATATTTCTGTTCAAGGAAAAAATTAATATTGGGGTAGTAGGTTATTTTTGGTCTCTTGTTCTGTCCTATAATTTCAAGTAACAAATCAAAACAACTTACAAGGGGTATGAATTTTGCACAAAATAATTTCTTATTGGACAGAGTTGTTAACATCTACATCACTGTCAAATTATTCAACAGATGATTATGTACAATTAATGTAACTAGTTTGGTCCAATAAGGAAAAGAAGTATACTTGTTTTTGTTGATTATAATGGACAATAAGTGGACCCATTTGGCATTTAATGGATGATAAGTTTTGGCCAATTACTGATCAATAAAAGTACCTGTTTTTGTTGATAAGTATGGACAATAAGTGCATGATAAGTTTATCTGGTCAATTACTGATCAATTAAAGTACCTGTTTAGGTCTGTTGTAGTAAAGTTGGGGTAGCAATCTACTGAAGTCCTCATCACAGGCGACATGTTGTGATGTCCGGGCAGTAAACGACCTGTTGGGGCAGACAACCACTTAAAATGTCTAGTGATCATGTATCTCATATCACCCATTTGGTAGCATATCACAAATATAAATGTGAGAAATTTTCAGTATCTTATCAATCAAAAATATCAAAATTCACTACAAATAACTTCAAAATGCCAACTTAATTAGGTTCTAACTCACTTGGCATATTCTTTCAGTGCAACGAGATCTGCTTTCAACACATGCATTATGGCTGCTCTGTCCTGCATAACAGTGATACTAATGTCCTCAACGACTGCCTTCAGAGGTGGCAGGTCAGGCAGCATTCTCACAGGGTCATGATTTTCCAGACGATTTTTTATCTTTTCTGTTGCTAGGGAACAGAAAGTGATTTCTTATAATCAGTGTAGTATCACATGTGGAACAGCACAAAAAAGGACAGGAAAAGCTATTTCTTTTTTTTCTGGAAGAACTTTATTATGGAAAAGAATAATATTGAAGTGAATCTCAGGTGTTGTTTCATTTACTTGTATATGTATTATTTTAGATGTGTTGTTTTATTTATTGTTACATGTTTATTGTTTATCTAAAGTAAATACAGGATGGAGCCATCAACATCAGGGATTCTGTAACTTAGATTTTATTTGTTGACATGTTTCGGTTGGCTAGGCCAACCATCTTCAGAACCTAAAGGTTTATTGTTTTGTTTGCCTTCAAATCTCAAGTTTTATTAACCAGTCCTGATTATAATAAATGGATGAAAAATTCTCAATGTGCAGTTGTTTGTCTTAAATGGTGACACATTGTCAACATGTTTCGACTGCTAGGCAGTCATCATGGAGACCATGCTGAAACATGTCAACAGTGTGTCACTATTAAAGACAAACAACTGTTCCTGTATGTTGGAGTATCTTTCATTCACATATCATTACAATCTCTATTAAATACCATTAGATATCCATCCCTAAACACACCTGCCTCCACAGACTTAAAGGTGTTGGTTCTCTCCATACCTACTATTTCTCAGTCATGAAGATACGGGATATTGTATGAAAGAATCCTTTACTTACCTGTAGCTGTAATCCCTGTTTCCTTGGTAATGGTATGTATGACCTCTGATCCCAGGAGTGATGAGTTCCATTCACTTGTCATTTGGGCCAGCTCAAACACAACTCTGTCATGGTCAACTGTCTCCAGCCATGGATCCTAAAAATTAAACATTTTCAACTACTAATAACACTGTTATCATGTCCAGTCACTAAGAGGTTCATTTTTTTTCCTGTATCTATTATGATAATTCTAAAAAAAATGTGTTCTGAAAAATTCATTTTTTCTGGTTTTCTTCCCCCATCTGCTTGACTGAATGGTACATACCACTTGGTTCTGAAACAGCAGGAGGAGTCTATCTGACTGGTACTGTGGAGGAAGGGCAGGTAGATAAAGTTTAGCATCATGTAACATTGGCTCCTCCGTCCACAATTGAAAGGTCTGGTACAATCTGAAAAAGACAAGTCAACCAAAGTGTTGATTATTTCATTTTGACTATGGTCAGCAGTAACCCTTAATTTGGAGTAGATCAAGCTCTAGGTTACTAACCCGTTACATAATTTTTCAGCATGGTCTGCTACATAATTCATCCGCAGGGTCCGATACATGATTTATCATCAGGGTCCGATACATGATTTATCAGCGGGGTCTGATACATAATTTATCAGCAGGGTCCGATACATAATTTATAAGCGGGGTCTGATACATAATTTATCAGCAGGGTCCGATACATAATTTATCAGCGGGGTCTGATACATAATTTATCAGCAGGGTCCTACCAATGATCAAATCTTTAAAAACTAGCCCATCATTGCCTTATGTTGGGCACTTTTCCTACTTGAATCAGAATATTCCAGTCTAACCTTAACTCAGTAAGATGACTATATTCTGCACTTACACAAGCTAAGACTGTATTATGAAATGTCAGCGTTTTACTTCAAGACAACAGGACTTTCTCATGTGGTGCTTCCATGGTTAACCGTTTTTGTTACTAGTACACAACAATACTAATAAATGTTGCCATATATCAGCCATCCCAATTTCCAACTAGTAGATATGACCTATGGCTCATCAATCTGACACTTAACCTCTGACCTATGAACTTACAAAGTATACCCTACAAACCTTGTGAGCTGTTGATGGAAGTCACGCCTGGGAAGGAAGGACTGTTCCTCTAATGTTTGTACCTCCCCGGTCTCTTCTCGCCTTTCCTCTATCAGATACAACATCACAGAATTAGAGTATAAGTGGGATTACATCACTGCTTTTATGTTACATTTTTTACAGGTCAAAATTATGTGGTTTTCTAATAAAATGGTCAAATCATACTTTTTAATGAATGAAAGTTTCACTATATGGATGTAAAGAACATCTATCGTAATACACATGTGTCTCAATGACAATATTCTGATTTAAAAAAATACAAATAAAGCTCATCAAACAAAATCTGTAAAAGCATTGTTACTGAGAAGTCATTAATTTGAGTGAGGTGTTTATTTTCATGGATTTGCTGAACACTTTTTGACCTTTTCATATCTGGCCTACCCTGCTTTAGACTAACAGTATAACATACCAGCCCTGGTGGACTCAGCCTCCTGGTGTTGTATCTGTGACTGGTAATTGATGTGATAATCCACTGCTTCCTTCAATTTTTTCTTCATCTTTTTAAGTTCAGAGGTATGCTTGCTTACATCATAGAACTTCTCTCCAACACTGGCTCGCTGTTGCATGCTGTTGTTAACATTCAAACATATGATGTTCCACTATTGTACATGACAGAAATCCTATCAATTAGCTTTTAGATATTTGAATATGTAAAATTGTGTTATCGTTCCTTACAATTGGAAGTTATCTCCCCTAATTTTTTATAACCAGGCCACATTCAAAGTTTGACCATTTGGACTTAAGATGTTTATGAATTGAAGATATACCTAAAAATTTTGTTAAGCTTTCTGATGAGCCTTGACAATCTCTTTCAAAACATGTGCAAGTTTATCATAAGTTATGCCATAAAATTTACATCTAAAATTTTGCTAAGTAAGTTTGTCTACAATACACCAAAGCAGTTCTAATGTTTTCAAAGAACTTAGAATCAACATAATAATACATGTTTAAAATTTCATAGATTTAGCCCAAATTATCCTTCACAATGATTTCACAAGCTTAAAAATTCTACTGGAAAAACAATGACACATTTAATTAATCACATTAGATGTTCTATCAAACCTGTTAATTCTCCAAAGATAAAACACACTCATCACTTCTAGGTAATATACTGTGCATTTAGAGCAAAAACTTGCACCTACCTGACCTGAGATAACATTCTACCAAGAAATAGGCCAAAGAAGCGTTGCCAGACAAGGGGTGCCATGGGGTGTTCTACATCCATGTCCAGGGCCTGGCGCCCCCATCGATAGATATTAAGGCTGTGTAGCCCCGGAGACACCTGTAGCTTCAGTTTGGTCACAGCTTTCTGTTAAACATTTAACATGACCTATATAATATATACAGCTGATGTACTTATACAATCTTTATGAACTTTACAAACATAATTCTAAACATATAATTTTAAGATACAAAATCATTTTCATTTGTCTCTAATGACAGTTCAAAATTAGAGCATCTAGAAAAAGCCATACTTGAGCCAAACCTAGAACCAATTTTGATTATACCTTAAGAGCCTGTTCTGGTGACAGCTTGGGCTCGATGTGGATTTCTTCCTTCAGTGTATACCACACTTTGCTTTCAGCTTCAGCATGATACTCAATGTCCAATATAAGGAATGTTAGCCAACCAAAGGTCTCAGGAGTGGCCAAGCGTTCTATGAGGGATGGGATCATGGCACAATTGCTCCCTGAGGACATCCAGCTGACAAGGGTAGACATGGCTCCTTGCTGGGCACTCTCTTTATAGTGACCTTGGAAAGTCTCCTGAAAGGACGGCTGTATCAACTCCATGCCGACCTTGTGAGTGAAGGCCACCTTCACAAGGTTATCCACTATATAGCAGCAATTCCTGTGGATAGACACAAAATCAGTAGACTGTATTATCACAGAAAAAGACAAGGAGCACACATTACTTCTGACAAGATATACTCATAGTGATACAGAACTATAACTACATGTCATTTGAGTTAAATTCAGCGCGTGACAGAAAGCTGAATGACTAAATACCATTAAATAATAACTGGCCTGCTGTAGTGTTACTGCCTTTTCTGATATATCTTACTCCTTTTTATAACCTATCATTTTACGTGTCTTGAACATTTATCAAAATGCAAATAGAGTTCTTCAGATAAGTTCAGAGATCTCACCTATCCTGGAACCACTTGGGTGTCTTGATAATGACACGAATCCAGAAGTCTACTGCGACAAAGAGGGCTGAGTTGCCTGGTAAAGTAGCAGCTTTGTCTATACAGTCCTTAAAAAAGAGTGAAAAAGATCTGCCATAAAACTAGCATCAGAACAGTGTGATAAAAGTTTTGCATCACATAAAAAAATATTTTATCACCCTATCATAAATTTGTTAAAATTAATAACTGTAACTACTCAATAACATTTAAACATTATTTGCAGATCAATGACCTGTTCTTAATAGCAATTAACCCGATATGCTTTAAGATTAGTCACTGTCACTTAATCATTTGGAACGAATTCTAAATATTTTAGTGGCAACTTCCTACTGAACAGGGCACACTTAACTCCTTACAACATGATTTAAACTATGTCCTAATGTCTGCCTTTATCTGTCTTAAGGAGTTTCTACTCTTCTTTATCTTTAAATTCAGAAATTAAAATGAATTTTTTTTCTAACTATATAAGGAAAGCCTTCAATAAATGTAAAGATTACAATAACAGATTTTATGTGCATTGCAAAATTGATGCTATAAACAAATATTATAAAGTAATATGTAATGATGAAGTATACCTGGATCATGCAGGAGAAGAGCTTGGTCATTGGTCCGGGGAAATCCACAGTCCACAATTTGCTTATCTTAAGGATGGAGTCATCAGCTGTCAGAAGTCCACTGATACACTTCATAAACCTTAAAATTCAGAAGAGATTATATACTATGAATATGTAATACTCATACATGTATAATGCATGCAGTTTTAAATTCATTAAATTCATTGATATATTGAAATACTTTTAGCTGCATAATTGTCATTAATCAAGAAAGATATCATTCTCTTGTAAATATATCACATGTGACTTTGACATATCACAAACTGTTTCTCTCTCTAATCTTATCTATTTTACCTATCACAACTGAATAAAACTGGAATACTATACAAAGGAATACTTCATACCATGTAATGAACAATTTTTGTGCAACTTTGACCTTGACTTTTTATCTTTTGATAATAACTTCAAGATGCATCCATGTTCTCTCCTTCACAGAAAATCTAGGATCGTATGTTTAAAGTTGATTTTCAGTAACAGCATTCCTTATTGTATGTAGAAAGATATTCTATGAACACAATGCCAATTTGGTTTTTAAGGTCAGCCTGAAGACTCCACACCATCTACCCCAAAATAAAAAGGGGATCTCCTCATCCAACAGGTAGTCTTTTTGTGAAGCAAGACAAAAGACTGACTTGAAAATATATGTTATGAACTTTATTTTAAAATGATTGCACAACAAGATTTCAGCTAATATTTATCAATCTTGCTCGCCTGAATGGAAGCGTGTGGTCTTACTGTGTTAGGAAACTGCAGTAAGTAGGGGAGAATCCACATGCTTAGGCAGGTGACCCCATACCTTTTCACACCCGCTTCAAACTAGGTGACAGGTAAGTGTGTTACCACAGCGCCACCTGACCACTCGAAAATGAATGACTTCTAGTTATATATTTCCCAAAGACCAACGTAATCCGACAGAAAGATAAATAAATCAATAGATGCTCAGAACAAGTTAAATCAAGATCTTTTTGAGAGAATGTTTTAATCCAAGTTCTGGACAGATATATAAGTATGTGTAGAAGTGTCTGGATTTCCATTTCCTTTGAACAGCTGTTGGATAAAATCATACATAATCTCTATAGCAACTCATGAGATTAACCCCCTCTATATCCCTCATCTGCTTTACTAGTGTGACATGTACTGTATACACGTACATTGACCGATCAGATGACTCACCTGTCATTTTCAGTGACAATCTTTGGGTTGTTAAGGAAGAGAGAACTGGTACAGTTTAGAACAAGCAGTGCCGGTCTGTAGTGGTTGTTCTCCACTAGGCAACACAACTGACTTAGACCCTCTGCCAGGAACTCAGTGGCACTACAACATCCAGAATTAATGTTAAGGGTGGTAAAACACAGAAATGGTCACAAAGGAATTGGACTAATCAGGTGACAGGTTTCTAAGACTAACTACAATTTCAATATGATACAACAGTGCTGTATCAAATTATAATACTTTGACATAATTTTCCATTGGTTTGTCAACAAGACCCAAAATGCTATATCTCAATCTTAACTTGCTCTGATATAAGAAATGTATTCACAGTTACAAATAACAGTACTGTAAATTTGCGGGTATAGTGCTCAGGTACAATTTTAGGGTCATATTAAGACAATATACATAATATAAATATTAATTACGAGTTACTGCAGTGCAGCCGATGATGTTTTGATCCATCACCATAATGAGCGTGACCCTAACACATTTAATTTTCCTATGTAAACAAATTCACACAGGTGCTTGACTTCACAAGCATGGAAGGCTGTAATTAGCTAAATGTGTCCTTTTTTCCGATTCTGTTGAGAGTATTTTCAGGAATTAACTAGTAACAACACATTGTGTAACACACCACGGTAATCTCCACACAAATTTTAGTATGCTGACTTGCTGCGTGTCAGAATGAAGTATTTAGTTTTATATTATACATACTTGTGACCCTGACTTGTTCCTACAACAGCCACAAAACAGGCCATCGGGTTCTTTTCCTTAACTCCCTTAGATACAGCCAAGAATGAATTGTCCTTTGTGATATCAGGCGGACCCCCAGCAGATTTATACATGGCAAGGTCGGGTAGGGGGAGACAACTGATGTGTAAATGGAGCTTCATCACAACTTCCCAACTCCAGTTGTTAAACTGCTGCTCACTGGTCTGTTGTTGTTTTACTACTTGTGCCACCTGTACATGGGAGAATTCATTATATAAAATACATCCCAATAACACCATTATACTACCAGGCTTATGATTGTTTCACCAATACATATCACACAAGATTCATTTCATCTCAATCTTAACACTTATAATTTCCTTTAAGTACTCTAAAACTCAAAAATAAGAAGCAGCTTATTTTCTTAACACATAAGCAAATGCTGGTTTATTCATGTGAAAAAAAAACAGATTCATTTCCACGAGAGGCAGATTTTTAAGTTCAGCTTGGTTCTAAGTTTATAGGATTTACATGTAACTGAAATTATTCAAATAAATAAATATGTAGATTTTTGTGACTGTGAAAGCAACGCCTGTATTCTTTTGATTTAAAAATGTCATCTGAAGAGGAATCAGTTTTTTATTTTATATTACCCAGGTACTTAAATACCATTGGTACATTTTACAGGGTGAAAATCAATTTTGAAAATTGCTATTTATGAAGATATCTTTCTGTAGATTTCGGCCTGATTTTGTAGAAAAGCACATTTCCTGTTACCTGTTTCATTCCTTTCAGAAACCAGAAGCCGAGGTTCTTGTTTGTTACAAACATTTCATAGGCTTCAGTCAAAAGAACGGCGGTCATCTTATGGAAGTCATATGGCACAAAGAGGCGATTTGTCTGAAACAATAGTAAGATGATGACACAAAAGTCTGATAAAACTGTAGTCAAAGTAACATAACTGTATATATCACCAGTAAGCTTCAACATTATGTATTAATGGTAGACCTATGTAACTGGTAGCTGATGACACAACCATATTTGACTCGATATTACACATATAAATACACAAAAGGGATGCAAGTCATATTACTATTTACAATGATGGGAGAGTGCTTCTTTGAAGAGCACTTACTAGGTAAAATACAAAATTCCAAATCAAAACACTGACCATATCAACTGATCTTAAAATAGATTTTAAACCTGAAGACTTACATTGATGACAAAATTCCTTCCATCTGACCTCTGACTAGACTCGAAGTTGATTATTTTGAAGAACAGATATTGAAAGATGTTTGATTATTTGAGTGCTGAGAAGGTTCTTACACACTGACCTCTGACTCGACCCCCCAGTTGATCTTATTGAGGACTAGTCGTGCCACCTGGTTGCTAGGGTCTGTCAAGTCTGTAGATAGCAACCATTGCCGTAGTACATCAAAATCACTTTCCCTTGGCAACCATATGTCAAACGGGAGCTCTTTGAAAAGGTACACAGCCATCTAAAAAAGAACATATTTTGTATTTCTTTATGTACAGCTTCAAGTAAACATTAGTTTTTTGGTGCAAAGAAAATGTTTGTTTCATGGTCAAATTTTAAAAGAAGAGCTTCAAAATGCTTTAGAAATCTGCTCAAATTTGCCCTTTTTTGGTATAAAATCACATCATCCAATCAAAGTAAATCTTTTTGATTTATTTAGGTGTGATGGCACATTATTCCCTGAAGTTACAGAACAACAATGAACACATAACATTAAGGGTATTATGTAATCAATGATCAACTTAAGAGCTGGATAATTGAACAAATTCTTTAGTATAAAAATAAGAACTGTAGAATTTAACAAGTGAATAGAGACAAGAATCAACATTAACTGTACCATTCCAATGTTATCCATGTTGTCTTTGGCCTCCTGTATCAACATTGACAAGATGAAGGGATGAATGGTTGCTATAGCAGCCAGTAGTTCCCTACCAACCTTGGAACACATCTCTCTAGTATTACTGCAAACATAGCACACCTGAAATTAAAACAAAATTGCATAGTATTGAAATTATGTCAAAATCATTACCTGAAAATAATATTAAATAGTTCATTTTACGCCATTACCTTATTTTGTAAAACTGATTAAAACCTTGCATGAATCATTTTCCTGGTCTCTGTTTAAATGACCTCTGACAAATGATCTCATATGACTTCTCTAATCAGAGTAGTTTCTCTTTATTGGATTATTGATTTCCTTATCACCTGGTAATATACTGAAGTTTGGATTGGAATTGTGTTTTTCAAAAATAACTCTCCTCTCTTCAAAACTGGTTTATCTTGTGTAGAACTATTATCTTGACATATTACCACCCTCATAACATCCGTCGGTTTTTAATGATAAAGCTTAGCATCCAATACAAAATTTGAATTATCAAAGTGTGCCTTTATGCAACTCACACACTGAAGGTTTGAGCATACAAGTTCTTTGTTATGTAGTTATTACTAACCTCAAATATACAGAAACAGATGGCATGTATGATGTCATTTTCCTGCTGCCGTCTACTCTGGGCAATGTTGGCCAGTGCAGTGAGGAGGTAAATAGCTTCTGATGTTGGTAAGCGTTGTACAGAATCACAAAGCTGTTGTCTACTGTCTGGGTCTGGTAAAGAAAATAGGGATTTAGTTTTTTTATGAGGCTGACACTACTCTTAGATAACAGACCAAAATAAAATAACAGGAGAGCATTGGTTCACAACTCAAAACAGATACAACTATATCTATATAATAAATACATTTATATGATATCTCTGGACCAAGATCTTTATATATCTATAGTTCATTTTACACTTATAACAAATTTAAGTCAAACATATTGCATGATTTGTTATAAAAAAATAAAGAAATTAAAATACGACTGAAGACAAAATTCAATTTGTGCAAAGGACAACAGCATTGTCCACACATACAGAACAACACACAATATTCTCAAACAGACTATCTAGGTCAATTTCAATATAATCAAAGTTATTAATGGTTAATAATAAGAGTTAGACAGTCACTTACTAGAGATAAACTTCCTACAGATATCCTCCGAAGGCAGAGTGTCCGGGTTGATAGTCTGTCCCCGGCCCTGGTGGAAAAGCCAAACCAGCTGCCAAGCCATCTCCCCTGATAATGTGGAGTAGGGCATGTCTGTCATAAACTGCCAACATCCCAGCCTGAAAAATCGTATCAAAGTACTTTGTAAATTGCTACTGCCAAATACTTATTTCTAAATCCCAAGTAAATGAAATGAAAGAAAATGACTGAATTTCCTATTAATTTGTCAACATTATCTATAGATATCTATCCAAGATGATTAATACCTTTGAGCAGTAAGTATACAATTTGTGGCCCTCAGGAAAAATTGACTGTATTCCATTTGTAGTCTCTCCAACAGTTCCCATGGCAGCAAGTGTCGGTTAGCCTCCTGGAAGTTCTCCCAGTGGTATGATACATACTGAACACATTGTCTGTACAGGAACACAGAAAGCTTGTAATTATATTTCACATCCCAACATAAAATGATGTATATACTGTGGTACTATATATATAGCCTCTCAACAGAAAGATTCAATCTACATATACTTGAGATCAGAATAAAAAATATGCGTTTGAGATTTCCAGGTCCGGGGAAAACACATTTAAAACATTGTGTATATCTCTTCATAAGACATTATTAATGTCAACTTTTTTGAAAGAAATATAGTGTACAGCTATGTCGTTTATATTGACTATAAATGCACTATCAAGACAAAATAAAATTTATATTGTACAATTACAACTTTTTGCTGTTTTATGTAATTACTAACATAATTATTTTAGTCTAAAAAAAGACAATGGTCACTGAGAGACTAATTGGTTATTGTAACAGTCATTTTAACTGGTAAACTGTTTCTGTCTCAATGATTAGGATAATGTTATAATGGTGTTGCAAGTAATATTTAAATAGTATTTTATGTACAATAGGTTTTTAAACTGGGAAACTTCATGCAAGTGTATGTATGACGATCACCCTACTGTTACCTGATCATTCGACCAATGCGTTTGTTCAGTTGTCTGTATCGTCCCTGGGTATGAGTCTGTAGGCCCCATCCTAACAGGTTGATTAGACAGGTACAGAAAGCAAACAGCTTAATCAACACAGTGTCAGTCGTCAGCTTCACATTATAGCCATAAGAACCTGTGTATTTAGGAAAAAATCATTCATATCATAATGAAACTAGTAAAACCTGTCTATAGAGACCACACAAGGGAAAAGTGGCCATTACATAGAGGTTCACTTACTTTGAATTGTATTACAAAGGGAACCAGCAAGAGCAGTCTTTATAGACAGCATCAATGCCCTAATTTTATAAATCTGTATAATCAAGGTTAAAGTCTGCAGGTAAACATTTGATTTATAAGCATATACCAGTCTGTATATAATTTGGCTGTCTTCTACTTACCATCATTGTTTTTTGTCATGAGCATGATGTGTTTGTATGCTTCCACCATAGGAATTTGATTCAATATAGCCACAATGTCGTTTTCCAAGAGGTACATCCAGGCATTCTTTGGATCTTCATCCTTGAAAAAGAATTTTTTTTCTGATATCAATGATGAAGAAATCATATCTCTCTATTGAATAATCATATTCAACTTCTTAATGTCAAGAAGACGATTCAACAAAACTGAATCTTCAAGTTTCCCTCAAATACTGCTACAGATATGTTCTGTGTATTGAAAGAGAAGTAAAATATTTATTTATTAATAATGGTTTTAATCTTGCTTTAATTGATAATGGTCCATTGCACCAGGTTATCTCTGATCTTCTTCAGCTACAGGGCATATACAGGATCTTATAAATAAATACACTTTCATTTATGTGCGGTTTTATGAAACAAGTCTTAAGATTTTATTCAAGAAAAGCCTGAAATCTCATACGAATGAAAACATATTCAAGAATTTTTTTATCACACAACTCAGATCAGTAGCAGCTGGTTAGGTTTTAAACTGAAAAAGTAGAGGACAAAATGAAATGAAGGCAGCTATTTTGTTGTGCCATTTTCAATTCATAACATTGTTGTCTGTATTATGACATCATGATCATTTCCTGACTGGTGCAGCCAATGATCATGATGAAAATTGCTGTAGTTTATATAGCACTAGCGACATCAATGCAAAAAATACTACATGGGAGAGTTCACTGCATAGCAAGCAGATTATGTGATCAATAATTCTTTTTCATAGCCTGTGTTTCTTCATCAAATATTATAATCATGGCCTGAAACTTCTCAGTGGTATATCACATCGGGCTTTGCAGCCTCAGAGGAAGAACCAAAGTTGTGGTTTGATCTCTACTCGTGGACAATTAGTGTCTTTTCAGGATGGTGTGATCACAAGTTGTCATATGTTGTAGCCATGTCCTTGCTCACATCAATTTATCCAACTTATGATTAGATAGCTTGCAGCGAGCCTTCATCATGATGTTCACAGAGGAAGCCGCTAGTTACTTGATGATCCTGGCTGTTCACAAGGATATAAACCAATCACATCAGCTTCTACAAAGAGACTGTTTACATGGCAATAATTCAAACCAAACATACACACAAATCTCTGTCTATAAATCACATGCTGTGTCTACTTACCTCTTCTCCATCGGAATCCACCATTATCCATGTGTTACCATGTTGGGGGTCAGGAGTGATGCCTTCCTTCATCAGACAAATGAAGTCTTCTCTGCCCCTGTTAATACAGTATAGTGATCAGGGATTCCAAACATTACATACACATTAACAAATGAAGATTTCTCTCCTCTGTACCAAATGAATCCTTCTACATAACAAATAAACTGACATTCACAGTCACAGATGCATGATATGGTGAGCCTCATAGCTATTATGTAGCAGATTGAAATTAAACAGATTGAAAAAAGACAATGATTGAATTTTTTATGTATTAGTGAATGTTACTGTAGTGAATACATACTTAATAGGCATGAGGATGGTGGCAAGACACGTCATCAGGTGATCAAGTATGGGGCTACCGATGTTGATGGGTGGGGAAGTAGCATGGGAGACGGGCGGGACCTGTATAAGGCTGGCAGCCCACTCCCCTACCCCTGCTGGGCACCGCATCACATGATTCAGGATAAACAGATGATCATTATAACTGGCTACCCTTGCTAGTGCTGACACCTAAGGGAAAATCAAAACAGAATTTTTTACTTGACTTTACATAAAGCACTATTTGGATTTGTATCCTTACAACCATCATAAAGAAAAAATTGTCAAAATATCGATTGTGAAGAAATTTTCTTCACTTGAGTACATTTAATTTATGAAATGTCAATTTAAAATCATTTTTGATGATTCAATGTTTTTGAAAGCTTAAACTTCAAACAACGTTGTTTATAAAATTTCCAAACAAAAGTGAGACACCCTTTTTATCAGACTACAAAATAACAACAATTATTATTGTACCAGTCTAAGAGTCCATTTTTTCGTATTGCCTACAAATTCCTCATCATTGATTGGGCGGCGATGAAATGAAAACAGGACAGAGATACAATCCCGCAGTCGTGCTATCTGATGCTCATCGTTAGAATTGTGATGTAGGCAAGCTGTAACAGTGGATGAATACTTGATTCTGTCAATAATTTATTTGGCACATACTGAAATTTCAAAGTAATGAAATAAAAGCTGATGTTAAACAGACTTCTGGACATAAATTTAAATGTCAATGAGCTGAAAATTTAAATACATTAAAGCGAAATGTAGTAAATTATGTTTAATATTTGCAATGAATTAACAGAATAAAAATTCTGATGTATACGAAACATACCAAACGATTAAACAAAACAAGAACAGAACAAAATATTCAAGAATTGAAGACTGCTTCAGTTACCATTGACTGGTGCATTTCTTGGCATGTCTCGCAGAACTGGTGATCTCATGAACAGATCATGAATGTAGGACTCCACCTGTAGTCTGAAATGATAAATTCTTAATCAGCTGAAGCATGATTGTGAGGTCAAAGATTTCTTTTTTTTTATTAAATTTATGTTAGTTTTTAGAAACAATAGATTAAATTTTCAGTTCAACCTTTCCTTCTTATGGGTTTCTTAGGGGTCCTAATAATTCAATGAGGAGAACTTACTTCGCTAACTGTACGGAGTAGGAGTACAAGGCAAACTGGTTTTGTAGGTTGTGTCGTATAGACTCTAGGTTCTGTTTCATACTACCAAAGGTTGGCTCACTGAACTCACACATGTCGTAAAGATGGGTAGTTTTACACTGAGAGCCATCCCCACAAGGTCCCTGTTGACAGAATTTAATTATGGTATTGATATCTTCAAAATATAATGTACTACACATGCAAGGAAAGTCTCTAAGGGTGTAAGTGCAAAAAAGACAGAAACTCAATGTGTCAGAGAGACAGGAATGCTTCTGCCTATAACCATGAAAAGTCTGTTAAGAGTTATTGGTTTGTTAAGAGGGTTATACATGTCTCATGAAATAAACATTTTGCACGCAGAATCTTTGAAAAACAATCTGAAATAAACATTTACCTTTTCAAAAATAGCTATTGGAGTTTGCTGATGCTCTCAAACAATGGTCTTTTTTTTTTTTATAAAATTTTAACTGAAATTCTTAAAATCAACTGGCCATAATGCTGGGAGAAAACTGATCATACCATTCAAATCCAAACTTGACTGGTATTATTATTATACAACTAAATACGAAATAACAGTAAAGGATTAGAAACAAAATATGAAAAATCATAAACAAGGGTAACACTATCTTTGACCCCAACCATGGATTGGTGGAGGAGGAAGGCATAAAAAAATGCACATGTATCACTACTTTAAGGACACCATTTGGTTGGTTTACATTTTTAACCACTTATTATGTGGGGTCCCAGTTCTTAATACTTTAGCTAATAAAACTAAAGTTTCCTCTAAAGAGCTAAGATTTATCATCACTAAGCAAGGCAGCAATTTTTATCTCCAATTTTAATGTGACAAAATTTCATAGTCTTATGATTTGATAGAAGTTTACTTCCTGCATCTGAGTCTGTTGTGTTTGTAACATATAGTGTTATCACTAAGGGGCATACAAACTCTATGATACCAAGCTTAGTCACATAGTTCAGTTGCTTGGTTGAAATTGTCTTACTTTAGCATTGATGGAGTGTTTTGCTGTTGTCCACACTTGCTCCAGCATATGTAAATAGTTTGTCTGAAGTGCATTAATTTCTCCTTCGGCCTGTAGAAAATGTCTACGGGCACTCAGGTAGCTGTTCAAGATCTCAAGGAATTCATGGTTTTCCCTTTTTGCTTCATTCTGATCAGAAATAAAAACAACACAGATGTTATATTAATACATTCCTCAGACTGATTAACGTAGTAAATAGTGATACATTGAGTATCAAATCCATTGTACAAATTTCCAAATAAGTCAGGATGTTTTCAACATTTTTATACAGGATGAAGTAACGACCAATTGTTTAAACTGTTTGAAAAAAAGTTTGTAATTTCAAAAAAGTTTCTTTTAGATAATCATACAATACAAAACAACATGTATATTTTGCTATAATTTATATCTACAAACCTGTACAAACTTATCAATGAAATGGACATTGTTCACCAACTCTGGATTGTAATATAAACTCTGAAGCTGTTCCAGTGTGAGAGGCTGAAACTTGCGAATCAAAGTTGCTTGACCTTGAGCAGTATCCCTCATAGAAATCATGGCTGGTGCTGACTCCTTAGCCCGTAACTCTGTCAATTGTTTTGATCTTTGATTTTCCATACAAATATTTGCAACATCTTGTTGCGAAGATGTGGTTTTGATTCCTAATCTTTCTAGGTCCTTTTCTAATAGTTTTAATGTGTTTGGGCCAACTGGAGTGATTTTTGGATATAACGTTCCAGCATCACTATTCACTTCTGATGCCTCTGTTTTTTCTTTGTTGGGCAAATTTGCATCATTTGATAACGTCTCACTGACATCCTTGTCTGAAACTACTGGACCTACTTCTTTCTCACTGAGTGTAGATGTGGCTGAATAGAAACTCTCCTGTCCACTAATGATATCTTCAGAATGAGATGGTGAAATCAAGTCCTGATTCTCTAAAACCTGAGAATCAGATGACAAGTTAACCCCTGGATCCACCTTGTGATCTACTTCTGGTCCTCCCACAGCGGTTTCTACATCAGAAAGATGGCCACTTTTGTTCTCAGCCTCCCTTTGAGATTCAGATTGGTCATGTTCTTTATTTACTATAGTTATCACAGTATCAGCTGTAACTTTGTCCGGTGTAGCAACTCTGTTTTCTGAACCTCTATCTGTATTAGATACAGTACCAGTGACACTGGTACTTTCACTATCCATCCCTCCATCTTTTGACACAGTAGTTACTGCCCCTATTTCCTCCCCCACATTGTGACTACCATGTGTCTCTCTCTGTTCTGTAATTTCCACAGCTGGAGGCAGATCTAGAAGCAATGATGAATCAATATCAGCTTCTGGTAAAAAGTCTTCCAGATCCTCTTCATCATTATCTTTGAGGGGTGTTTCCAATTTCGCTGATTTTGCTTTGGCTTTCTTATGCTGTTGAATGAATAAATAAATGAATGAAAAAATAGTAATCACATTAGATATAACGGTGCAGTGTGTTACAAAGACAAAATACGATGAGTATATATCTGAGGTGATTAAATTGAGTATAAAGCAATTCAATCTATATTTCAACAGTGATTTTTTAGACTGATATTTGAATGCTGAACTCATGATTTTACTGTGGGGGTTAATTCAAATTCTGAGGACTCAATATATCTCTTAGTAATGGGAGTAATAAAAATTTTGGAAAGAGTGATCTTGACTCATCTGAAAAAGTTATACAATATCTGCTTTTATCAAAAATCGGTTTTCCTAATATGGTTTTTATCCATTGAGTGTACGTGTTTATCTATGAATTGATGAGCCAGAATTCCTGAGGTTACTTTATTTACTTAAATCACTAAACAGGCTTAACAATTCTGCTATTACAGAATACCAGCCTACAAAGTTATCAAAATGAGTGAAACAAAAACCTGTACTTAGCCATATACTAAAAATGTACCAATCACAACCCTTTATAAAGACTTGGCTTAAACAACAGCAAAAACATTAATGATGATGAGTTCTAATAAGGAGCACAACTTGTTCACAATAAACATGAAAGAGAATTTGAAACCTGGATTGATGTACTTTCCATTTTTTTATTTTAAATATTTGTATGTTGACAGTATGGTTATTTTATGATAAAAATTCCTTGATTATCTGAATAAGTATAAGAATGATTTGATTTGAATGGTTAACATACTGTTGCAGTCATATGATTTCTTACTTAGTTGTAAAATAAATACAATACTTTTAAAGTATCATTTGGTAAATAGTACACCTGATTCAAAGATGTGTATATGTGTGTTCAGTAAGCATAAGGACAGAGTCTGATATTTTTTAAGGTGAATTTGTTATTACAGATGCATCTGTTGAATCTATAGCTTTATTGTGAGAGTGTTGAGTGAGTGTCTCATATATATATATATGGGTGGGAATGAAAGAATGTATATGAAGGAATGTTTGTCAGTGAAAAAATTCATGTACCAGGTATATATAAAGATAAAATACTTAATTGCATACTTATTGTATTTATACTTTACACCATAAGAAAAAATTTATACAGGCTAAGCCTGTTATATAATCCTTGTGTATGTTTTATACAATGAAATTTGTGGAAATGATTAAAGTTAAATTCTTCCAAATCTGTTACACTTCCTTTCATCTGAATTTTGTAGTTCAGCACAAGTAATCACCACCACCAATAATTTCTTTCATGTGACTTTTCCAAATAAAGGCAATTTGTTAGTATATGAAGCAATATAGGAAGGTGAAATAATACAACTCTTATCAAATCCTGTTCACAGCACAAGTACATTTTCTTCTGTTAAAAGTAGTACCAGTATATATATATACATATCATTATGTGATCATTCAAAGTGGTATAATGTATTTTTCTTTTATTACATATATCCCTGATATATCAGAGATGTATACTACTATTAGAAACTGTTGATATCCGTTTTCAATCCTTTAGTAAAGAAGTTTGAGTTAACTTGAATTTCTATGTTCACAAACCATTTTCCTCAACAAATGCATTACCAATCTTTTTTTTTTTAAAAAAAAAAACAGTAGTGGAAAGCTTGATAACTTTCAAATTGATTGTGCTAACTTTTGAGACAAAACGTTTCCTTAACTTTTTGATATTAATAAAACAAAGTTCATATTTAAGATATTTACAACTGAATTACCATCCTATATTGTATACCATCTTCAGCTTGAAACTTGAAGAGATTAATCTTGAAACAGATAACACTGAAAAGCAGAGTAAATATCTTGTTGACTGAATTAAGTTTTGTGAAATGTCACATTAATTCAATAGTATTTTTTGTTATGAAATGAGATTCACTTTCACTATCAAAAAAACCCAAATAAATAAATAAAAGATGACTCTGGTCATGCCAGTCAGCCTAGCATTGAATAGGGCAAAGGCTGATAAGGTTAGATAATAATGAGGAGAGCTGGGGACTTTATAGCCCGGTGAACAAACACAAGACCTAACTCCAAAGAAAATATCTAAGACAAGGTGTGAACACTCTTAGAAATACGGGAAGCATTAATTCAGTTCTAATGTGTGTATGTTTTAAAGAGAGGCACGTATGTATAATGCTAGTTTAAAAAATGCAACTTTTCAAAAATAAATATATAAAAAAAATCAGCTGGTTTGTATGGAAATCATTCGCATCTGCTTTAACGTAGATTCAATGATAGATGACTGATACCTTATATTTAGTAGGAAAGTATAATCAATCAAAAGCATTTTATACGCTAAAAAGTACAGTATTTATCATGTTTGTTCACCATACTTTTGTGTGTTTTCGAGTACTGCGTCTTTCCCTCACAGCCTCTGCCATTGTTGTTTTTCTTATCATATGACATCATTCGGAAATCTATTTACACCGATGACCTCGATTGGTGATGGTAAATTCTTGAGATGTACCGAAAAACCATAACAAACCAGTCAGGGTCTTCTAACTGTTTTATTTTCCATTGCGATCCGATAGCTAATTTAAGCTTTCTTTTGACATTGTTACTTTAAAAATTCAGAGGTGGTTCGTCTGCCAAACTGTATTAATAATACTATTATGTGGACTAAATGGTAAGAAAACACAAGTGAACAGTGTAGCGTGCGTTTTGTATTTCAAATATGTCCTTCATGAACAATATATCCTTCTTGAATATTCCGGTCTTGTCGTTGGACGAAATCAGGATTCTCCATGAACAGCTTGAAAATGGAGAACTTAATTTCCTGAAAAACGTACAAGGCTACTGCATGCCTACAAAAGGCAGGCGACTGATTAAGGATTTCATTAGTGCGTTTATGTAACTAACTAATTACCTAAAGCAGTAAATACCCCTCAAATGCAGAACTATATCCCATTTTAAGGGGTTGTGCAAACCGGTTACTAGACTTGGCTAGTGAAATTCACCATTAGCTGAACACTAGAGTATCCTGCGAGAGACTGAAGAGTTGCTAGTTTGAATATCATCGGGGAAGGGTGTTTTTCATTACTCCTTCCTATTAAAGATATGGTGCCATTGACTACTCCAAGAGTAGAAGTGATAGGATATTGAGATGCTTGTTTGGAGATGTTGAACCTGGGTCACTGTTGTCTTTAACCTGGGTGGCTGTTGTCTTTGGGGTCAAAGACTTTGTGAAGGAGGGATTAGTGTAGAAGTTGACCTGGCTGACATTCCTTGTTTTTTTTTCTGTCATATTATTAGAAGCAATAAGTTTTATTGTCGCCTTGAGTGAAGATTTCCTTATTGGCTGCTTTGTTCACTAAATCTTGGAAGTCATCAAAAGTCCATATTTAAACAATTATTCTTAAGCAAGTATTCAGGTTCCTTAGATATCATAGGTATACAGTTAAAAATCTACCAAATTTTCAGTTTGCTTATATCTATTATCAATAAGGCATCAATACTTCAGATGATTTTTTGCTGGGTTTTAAGCTTTGAAATATTAATTTGCTGTTGCAGCAGGATGCAAAATGAAACTTCGTGTCTCCTGTTTATCAGTATTATTGATTTTTTAAATCATGACTCCAATTTTGATATTGATTTTATAATTTTAATAAAAACATATAAAAAACAAAAACAAACAAACAATATAGCTCAAGAGCATACTTGCACTTCTTTAGTTTGTAATTTGCAAACATCTTTTTTTTTTGTAGAAATTACATCAATGGCCAAGATCTTTCACCTTACAGATAACCACCAGGAGACTAAAAGATTTTATCATCTTGGAATTGCCCAGTGTTTGATGCAATAATAAAAAAACCCATTTACAAACTATGGGAATAAAGAGACCTTAAAATCTGCAACAAATGGCATAGTCGTAGAAACTTTCCACAGCTGGTGGATAGAGACAACTTCATGAAGAAAGAGAAAGAGAAATTTGTCTTCAGAATCAGAACGTTTGTTTCTTGAAATTGAAACCAACAAGTAAAAAAAATCTTTGGAGTTTGTTGCAAGATGTTTATATGTCTGAAAAAAAAACCTTTTGTAAAACAAGAATTCATCTGGGATTAGTTTGATAGCAGCAAACTATCAACATCAGTATTTGATGGTGTGGCTGGTGGCTACTTCTATAAAAGTTTTTCTTGAGAAGCATTAAAAAAAAAAAAACATCTTAAGCAAGCAAAACTTACAATGCATCATGATTTATTAAGAAGATGAAATTGATACATTAAAGAACCAGATTACTCAATTAACAATGGTGAAATTAAATCTGAAGTGTTGGATTAAATGTTTTTTCCCTTTCCTGGTAGTATTTTTATTTATAATCACATTCATGCATAAGCGCTTGCTTAACCTTGAACAATTAAAACACCAGGTGTATTACCTTTATTGGGTACATGATGTTGATGTGGATGAGGAATGGCTGCAGCAGCCTACACAGATGTGTGATGGCCATTTTACGGGATATGGCAATGAGTTTGCTGTTCTGAGAGATGTAGAGTTTTCCCAGGATATGAAATTCAAAATGAAATGTGCTTCCAGAAACAATCAGAATTATCAATTCACAGATGGAATGGGTGCAAAAAATCATTTGAACCAGTGGTTTAAAGCTCTGGAAGACAGTTCTGTCACTAAAAGTAAAACTATTCAGAAAAAGAAAACCATTTTTGTGTTGAGATACGAATATGCAAATCTTTACCACCAGATGACTGACTTTTACAATGCTTTTCTCATAGCAAATCTATTGAAAATTCCACCAGATGACTTGGATGTGGTGTTGATGGATCAAAATGCACCTTCTGTTCTTGATAAAACTTGGGATGTCCTTTTTGGGGATGTTCAGAAAATTAAAGATATCAATGAACCAGTTGTTTACAAAGAGATGATTTGGGCTGTAATAGGATACAACAGTCCAATGAATTTTCATTCACTGTATTCTTTGCCATATGGCGATGAATTTTCACAATTTTTTAAAGCTAGATACAATGCTGGGCCCAAAGTGTTAGATTGCGCAGGTGTTTCAATACTATTTGTGTGGCGTAGGAACTATGTTGCTCATCCAGGAAATCCATCTGGATCAATCTCGAGGAAAATTAAAAATGAGAAAGAACTAATTGATGCAGTACAGGAAGTCTTTCCAGGCCACAATGTTGCAGGAATACAACTGGATGAACATGAAATTAATGACCAAGTGAAATGGGTGTCACAGACAGACATTCTTGTGGGTATGCACGGAGCTGGTATGAGTCATATCATGGAGTTACCTCACCATGCAGGAGTTCTAGAACTCTTTCCAACATATAAGGCTAAAACTAATCGACACTTCAGGGCTATGGCTCGATGGAGAGGACTGCGTTATAGGAGCTGGCAGAATTTAAACCCCAATAATGAGTTCAAAGGTCAATATACACGTATACCACCAATTGTTGTGACACATCTTCTCCTAAGTCTGTATACAGATATGTGTGGCCCTCTAAAGATTCCTGCAAAATCATGAAATTAACATATCACATAGTTGAATTTTATTTCACCAACTGAGCTTCATCTCCATTCTAAATGTAAATATCTTTATGTAATAAAGATGTCTGTATTATATACATAGCTGAGGTACCTACCATGTACAAAATCTACAAGTAAAGTCATATAATGATGATTACTTATAACAATGCTGTAAAACCAAACAATTAACTGTCATGTGTGTTTTTGTTTAGGGAATGATTGTCTGTATAATAAAGGGTTTTAATGGTTTGAAGAGGGAAAAGAGTAAAGAATTAACAACAAGCAGACAAGAACATTGAAATAACATTGACTGAAAGCAAATTAAAGTTGGCAGATATAAAGAGTAGTGTTACACAGGATGTCATTTTATGTCAGTTTTGCTGTAAATATTTCAGCTTTAAGAAAAATTGATTTTTATATACTTTCACAACACTTTGTTTTACATTTCATTACATAGATTACATAACTTACAATTATTTTGTATTTTAATTTCAGTTCTGGTATAATTATCTCAAGTTTCTTAGTCTTAGCCATGTTTTCATCGCAATCAAAAGGCTATCAAATCATAAGTATACAGGTATACCATGTAGATGTTACATATGAAGTCTCAGATCATACTTTTCACCAATTTTTAGAAAAAATTACGACCAGAAAATAATTGTTTTTATCATATTTTATAAGATGCATCTAACTATAACATTTAAAAGTACTTATAACAGAACAATTTAAAAAAAAAATCACATTGATAGCTTCAACTTGTCAATTTCGGGGTTTGTTTGCAAAATGTTGCTATTGTTGACCCTGCAGAGAAATTCAGTTATTCATACATGTAAATTTTAATGAAAATCATTTTAATTCTCCTATTCTATTTGTTCAGTTATAATTTTGAAGTTGCATATGAAACATGTTTGATAAGTTGCCCATGAAATATGTTGGATGAATTGCCTTTGAATTATGTTTGATAAGTTGTCCATGAAACATGTTTGATAATAAGTTGCCCATGAAATATGTTTGATAATAAGTTGTCCATTAAAGCAGTTTAATAGAAACTTTATCTATTTTACAACAAATGCAACAAAAGTTATGGCAACTTATACTAATCACTCTTATTAGCCTGGATGTAAGTGCGTGAGGGGTCTTATCGGCCAGGTGGCAGGTAAATGCGTTACCACTGCACCACCCAACCACTGCATGAAATATGTTTGATAAGTTGCCCTTGAAGTATATTTGATAAATTGACAAAGATATATGTTAGATAGATTATTGGTTTGCAATGAAATATATTGAAGTTCTCTCTACCTTGCTGCAGGTTGTTATTTTGATTTTCTTTTTTTTTATTATTCTCAAAAAAAAAGTGATGTCACGAAAATAGTATACATGTACAGTTTGCATATTATTTTGGTCCTTTAACTTAAATGATAATTATATATGTTTGTATAATGATGAATATTATTGTATGATATATTGTAACATACAATATATGTATGTTTTTCACTAGAAATCATGTATTGTGTAGTATGCATTCACCTTTTATCAGGCTATAAAAAGGTAAAAACAAAACTGCTTTAAATATCCAATATAGTGCACATATTAATGTAGCTATCATTTCTTTTATATCAGGAAAGTTGATACATGATATAATGCAATCAGAATGTTATATAATTATGAGATAACTGTTACTTATCACAAGTTAAACCCCATGTCTTTACAATTTTTTGACACAGACAGTATAACACTACTCTGATGTTAAGCAATCATCAGGGTCAAACATGGAAAGTAACTTTTTCATCTGCATATTAACACTGTCAGACAGGGAGATCAACTTATGAGTCACAGTTTATATTCTGGTGTATATGATTTATGTGATTAATAGAATCTTGTAGCATTGTAAAATTCATATCAAATATACTGAATTTGTTCAATTATTTTAATTTGATATTTACCTCTTTAAGGTCATATAATAATCAATCAACCTGTAACATGCATGTATGATTATATTCTCTGTTTTATTTTTTTTTCTTGAAATACAATAATATATGTCCTGCAACAAAATAAGTACAATTTCAATGTCTTGCAACAAGTATATATATCCCCTGTCATAGAGTCAGCGATTAAGTAATGGTCCCCTGGGCTTATTGCAGGATAAATATGGTATCAATGCATTTTATTTTTATGTATAGCATAGGTGGTAAGTTTCAGAGTCTCTCAAATAGTTGAGTTCCAAAATAAATACAAATTTTAGCGTTACCAGAGAGCTTATCCCAGGGCAGCTGTGTCAGTTTTATTCCAAGTGTCATTACTAGCCGTGAACAATGGAATACATTTTAACAAAATTTGGTTAGAAGCATTGCTAAGGAGAGGAATCAGTTCTGTATAAGTAGTGAGTCTGGGTTCCCAGGGACTGACAGGCATGGCCTAATAGGGAAGATTTATCTTCATTCTTCTTCATTTGTAGGCATGATGGGATCTGGTCTAAATGCTGTTTAAAGAATCCTTTTGTGAAGTAGATTCAATTTTGTATAAAAGGTGGGTTTTAACCTCTAAGGTCAGAGGGATGGTAGAAGTTCCCAATAAGGGAAATAGAGATTAGAATATATAATCCTTCTTCCTCTTTTAAGATGAATGTATTTCAATCAAATGGAGTGTATAGCATCACTTAGTGCAAGGGGACTATTTTTTTTTTTTGATAAACAGTGATCTAACTTCTGCATACACACACACACTACCCCCTTCTCACTCTGAGGGCAATAAGATAGAGCCCAATGGGGAAATTTAGGAAAAGATTAAAAATCCTCCTTTTTAGTTTTTTTTCCCAATCAAATTTGGTCTGAAGCATCCTTGGTTGATGACTTGTAAGTCTTCAAAAATCTGTCTTCTTCTGTTGCAATATGGGTATTAATCTTATATAAATTTGGCCCCTTGGGGTTATATGCATGAGGCTAGTTTGTAGACAAAAATGTTTAAAATCCTTCACATTGCCCTAAAAATTTCTTTTAACTATTGATGTAATTTCACCTCAGTTGAACCAATCCTTCTACATTTTGTATGCATATTTGCCTTCTATTTTTTATTTGCAAGACAGCACATATATTTGCTTTACTGTAATATTTAAGGTGTATTTTGTATGTTTAGATGTCTGTAAGATAAGATTTTGTTTCCTTGTTTCACTTAAGAATTGTTTTCTCAAATTGTAGTTATCTCCCTTAGTTAATGTTTTTAGAACTTTTGCTTCCCTTTATGATGATGCAATGCTGAATGGTGAAGTGTTGGTTAAGTAAAAGAAATAAAATCCAGGGTGCCATAACATTTTCTGTTCGTTTCCTCCTCTTGTATATTTGATTGTTATGTTTTTATACATCACTTTGATAAGAATAAAGAGCTTATGTGCCCGATCTACATATCTTATGAACCTCAAATCAATTCACATAGCACCATGATCTACACCTGATCAGATTTTGATGGTCTTTTTCAAGGTCAAAGGTCAAAGTCATTTATGTCCATTTACAAATAAAAATACTTCTGTACAAGATTTGGAATGGGATATATCTACAAGTCCCTGCTCATTGTGTTTTTATTTGTTGTTTTTTTCCCTGTTTATTTCCAAAATCATATGTATTCAAAATTTTGATAACAGTTATTCTCTTTATTTTTATAACATTTTATAACATTTCATTTCTAACAATGCTATTGGTAATTATATAATTCATAAACTGGTGGTGTCCTTTACCTTTGTAAATCTGGAACTCATTTTACATAGTCATGTTTTTCTTAAATTGAAAGCAGCTAAAGTTCAGAGTCCTTTGATTCTTCTAACCTGAAGTCCTTGACATTTCATGAAATCAAATTTGTCTTTCTGAGATATTGTTGAAACAATCTTCCTGAAACTTTAAAGATAAAGTCCCTTATAAAGCCATTGTTGTTCATGTCACATTCTTAGCATTACTGAATGTTAAGATTTGTCTCTAGCAGTCATTTGGAACTTAACCTTTTAAGTTTGTCACTGCTATCTCATTGAAACTTTATGAATATTTTCAGGTTTCATTATTGGTCTTTGTTGTGATTGTCACTTTCAAATGTTTACTACACAACAATCGGAAGCTCTAAACATGTCACACATAACTGATCCACTACATTGGCATGAATGTAATTCAACCCACATTTCGTTAGGAAATGCACGTCTCCCACATTCTAGGCCCCCATCGACTGTCAATAGAGTGAACTGAAGGGAAGTAACTCTAGGGATCAGAATGGTATCCTAGAGCATATTAAATAGTTATACAGGGATTTCTTCAATGTTGATTTCACTCTCTCTCAAAGAAAAACCTTATCAGACCATTCAACAGACAACTTAAGCAACTTTTACAGAAATTGTTGATGAAGAAAAATTTCATGAAAGGGTCAATGTTAATTCTTCAGCAGGGATGAGTAGTATGTTATACATATTACAATCTTCTTAATTGCAGTGAAGCGTTTGTTAATCATCTGAAAATAAATGTAAATAACAGCTTACATACCTGTGTTTGTGGTGTTTACAGTTCTGTGAGATGAATTAGATGCAAGATGTTGTTTACATGATTTATTTTGAAATTATAGCACAATATCAGTATTACGTGTGAAAATAAAGTAAGCTGTATATAACTAAAAAGGTATGGTAATTACATTTGTCGAAAGGGGAATTTTAACACATGCAATCATTCGATATGTTATGCATTGATTAAAGTCGCACAAATTTCTGTAGAACCTTGCACTATAATTATAAATATGACAGTAAAACAATATATATACAAAAACAAAAAGTGAGTAAAGATCAAGAAAGAGGTTTCCTTCTTAATATAAGATCTGGAAGACTGAAAAAAATGTCATTCTTTTATTATTCAGGTGCCATTACAGTTAAATGACTGTATCTTAGAGTCTTCAGTTGAACAATTTTGCAAACAGCAGTTAGATAATGTATGGTACTTACTATTTACTTATTATTTCACTACTGGTCAGCTCCTTTAATGATACATAGTGATCAACCCGTAAAATAAGTCATGTCTGTGGCCGTTAGTTAAGTGGACATGCCTTTGTGAGAGTTCAAAAATCTTCTCTCCAAATGAAATTAATAGTCAGGAATGTTTTTCAGAATTTGGAATGCTTTTCAACGACTAGTGATCATTTCATGCTTCACCTCTGATGCTCAAAACGAATGGCTGCTGTTGTTGTTGTATGAATATGATGTATTTCAAATGGAGAGACAGAGAAATTAGTTGTAATTATGCAGACATTCATTGATTCCAGATCCATATTAAAAAAGTTTTAGAATGTAGAAATAATTTGGATTAGCTGTAAATTAGCCAATTAGTTTTAAAGGTATGGCAACATCTTTCTGTGTACATAGATATGTGTAAAGAGAAGGTCTTCTTCACAATTCTGTCCATTGATATTGACATTGACAACTCATTAGTACAACATTTTTATCCAGAAAGGAATGACGTGTTTATTCATCTACATTTCAAGATATGAAAAAAATCTAAGCAGTGGTATTCATTTAACACAATCCAAGAGAAATTTGATGTGGTGTATTTTATTTGAAAATTATACTTGAGTACAAGTCAGTTAATATTGATGATACATTTACACATTTACATTCATGTTCCTGCCTCTTGTATACACAAACGTTTGCTAAGTATGTGACTACTGTACACCTGGCTATCTTATCTGAATGTATACAGTTTTATTGGGTTTGTTCTTGGCTATGCTACCTGAATGATAGAAATGATACAATATCTAGACTATGTTACCTAAAGGATGGATATGATACAATATCTAAGCTATGTCACATGAAGGATGGATATGATACAATATCTAAGCTATGTCACATGAAGGATGGATATGATACAATATCTAAGCCATGTTACCTGAAGGATGGATATGGTACAATATCTAAGCTATGTCACATGAAGGATGGATATGATACAATATCTAAGCCATGTTACCTGAAGGATGGATATGATACAATATCTAGGCTATGTTACCTGAAGGATGGATATGGTACAATATCTAGGCTATGTCACATGAAGGATGGATATGATACAATATCTAAGCCATGTTACCTGAAGGATGGATATGATACAATATCTAGGCTATGTTACCTGAAGGATGGATATGATACAATATCTAGGCTATGTTATCTGAAGGATGGATATGATACAATATCTAAGCTATGTCACATGAAGGATGGATATGATACAATATCTAAGCCATGTTACCTGAAGGATGGATATGATACAATATCTAGGCTATGTTACCTGAAGGATGGATATGATACAATATCTAGGCTATGTTATCTGAAGGATGGATATGATACAATATCTAAGCTATGTTACCTGAAGGATGGATATGATACAATATCTAGGCTATTTCACACGAAGGATGGATATGATAAAATATATTACGAAATGTTGATAAATGTTCCAAGTGCCTTTAATAGCAAACTGTCGAAGAATTTGACCATACTCAAAGAAGTCGAGAGACCATGATGATTTCTCCTGGAGTTTCTATTTAACGGTATTCAGCATGTAGCAATGTTATAATTGGTCAATGGATGATACATTTACTTCCCTATGTATAACTATGGTTCTCTTGGCACATTTGTTTCAACAGTCAATGTCTGGTTTTGAATTCACCTCTCCTCCACAAAGGTGACATTTTTCTCCGATTTCTTGCATACACGTTTCACAATAATCTGCCGAACAAGTTGGATTGGTGCAAGTTACTATCTTAAGATTTGGTCCTTCGTTCGATCCACAGTTGAGACAGATTCGCGATTCTGTTTTCTTTTTTCCAAATATTCCTGCAAATGGTGTCTTGCTGTTGCTTTTTTGGGTCATACGTCTTTCCTTCTTCATACTGCGCAGATGCTGTTTGAGTTGCAGTTGGTGAGTCTTGCGGTCATGACGTATCTTCCGGTGCAGATAAATAGTCCTCTCAACTTCCTGTTCTGGATAGTAGTAGGCACATATCTTCCTTCTGAGACGAAGACTGTAGGACTGGGACAAAACGGCTATTATTGCCAAGGAATACACCACAGCGTAAGCGTAGAAGAGATTAAAATTTGGTTCGGCAGGGTTAGGGAGACAACTAGTGACGTTGAAATCTGCATCGTAAACATTATAAAGATTTATCCCAGTTATAAATGATCGCATCACCTTGGCAATTTCTCCTGTGCCAGTGATTTGTAGCAGAATGCTACTTTGCCCTGTCAGTTCGATGTTCACTCGACCGTAGCGATTGATAAGGTATACACAGTAGTAGAGGATATAGTCGAAGAACACGATGAGGAAAGCGAATATCATGTGGAGAATAACCTGTATTATTCCCACTGTACTAGATCGAAGTTCGGCTGGTGACATCTTTAAAGATTTGGTGTCCGTGTACATTCTTTTCTCTCGTTTCCTCAGCGGCAAGATGAATGACTCTCCTTTGGTTTCTCGCTCTTTATCGAACGCCTTGAAAGCTGATGTGATGTATATATTGTTGTACTCGTCACGAGAAATGTAGTACTTTAAGTACACAAAAGACTGAATGAAAAGAAGAACCAAGGAAAGAGCCAGCAAATTTGTCAACAACGTCACTCCGAATTGTACCCAGTCGATATTATTGTTCAAACTTGAATCCACTTCATCTATAAACTCGCGTGGGGTTTTTGTGGCATTAGCCAGCCCTGATAGTCCCAATTCTTTGATAACATCAAATGCAAACCAACTTTCTATTTCCTGTACTCCCTTTTCGACTTCTCTAGCGATAGCATTGGCGGCAGAATCTAGAGCTTCCACGGGGGAACAGGCAACTGATCCAATATTAACCACCTCACATACACCAGTTACGTCCAGAATATTGCATACATCAGTCAATCCTCTCTTGAATCTATAAAATAAGAATATATCTCTTTATTAAGATTGCACAAAAGACATTCAAAGAAATAACACATTGTAATTCATAGAGTGAGATACAGTAGAGCCAAACAAGGAATCAAACTGCATCATACAGTTGTTTCATCCTTCTAGGACTCGTTAGTGATGACCGAGGAAAATCCAAAAGTCAAAATCTAGACGGAAAGGTGCAGTAGCCCCAGAATTAAATAAGTGTCGTTATTTTCATATATCAGATAATTTTAGAACAACGTCAAGTACATGTTTATATTCTGAACCGTGCCACTATTTGAAAGAATTTACAAAGAAATAAAGACAAATTAACGACCAACTTGAAATAGTGGCCATTACGCTTTAAATGGCTCTTTATTTTATTTATACTTAGTACCAATTAATCTATCGCATTCTTAATTTGGACTGAAATGTGGCGTTAATTTGTGTGTCTACAACAACATATGAGTAAATCGACGCTGTTTTTTTTATGTATTAAAGGCCAACATTAAAACATTTATATTTAAGTCTAGAATAAAGAGATCATCGCCAAATATGTATACCAATTATCATTGACCCAAGGTCAGGTTGAAAATAAATTTTAGCACTTGTAATGCATTCCTGTCATATGACGACGTTATCGTTGTGGTGTTGAATCACTGTATTTATGGAAATATGCCCGTCTATACATTTCACAAGTTCACAAGACGTCTACACTTATTTGCACTCATTTACATAATTAATGAGTCTTATAAGGACGAAACAATTGTATGATGCAACATCACTGACGAGTCCTAGAAGGACGAAACAATTGTATGATGCAGCATCACTGACGAGTCCTAGAAGGACGAAACAATTGTATGATGCAGCATCACTGACGAGTCCTAGAAGGACGAAACAATTGTATGATGTAGCATCAATGACGAGTCCTAGAAGGACGAACAATTGTATGATGCAGCATCACTGACGAGTCCTTAGAAGAATGAAAAATTGTATGATGTAGCATCAATGACGAGTCCTAGAAGGACGAACAGTTGTATGATGTAACATCACTAATGAGTCCTTAGAAGGACGAAACAGTTGTAAGATGCAGCATCACTGGCGAGACCTAGAAGGACGAAAACAGCTGTATGGTGCAGTTTGATTAATTATTTAGTTCTAAACATTTTAATTTTTTTTATTGAAAAACGCTATTGACATGCACTTCTTTTGTACAAATGTCAAAAACAAAAATTTACTCGACCTTTGATTTAGAACTTTTCGAAAAGTAGAATATTTTAATCTTTACCCGTGTGAAGTTTCAATAAAAAGATACAAACCTGTGGTGTTCGCCCTTCATCAGTAGGGCCAGGGTAACATGTTTATGTTCTAACATGAATTCTTTAAGTTGGTTGGCTGTGTCACGCCGTTTTCGTTTTAGTCCCAGAGACCCCAAGGTGCTCACACATTTGGTTTTTGCGTTGCTTATTTCACTTACACAGGAAGTGTAGGCGTCAGTGAAAAGTCGTTTACATTCCTGAAATAAATAAATTATGCATAGGAAGTTTGGTTTTGTGTTATTCAAAAATAATAGTAACCAGTTTTATACAGATAGCGACAATTAACAATCTTCTTTTAACAACTGTAACACAAGTGTAAACAACTTGTTTATCTCCAACATTTAGTTTACGGTAAGATTAACATCTTAACAAAATAAACCAACCATTGACATGTAGAACGAAACACTTCACAACACAATATAAACCAACCATTGATATAAAGAATGAAACATGAAACACTTCATAACACAATATAAACCAACCATTGACATGTAGAACGAAACAAGTCAAAACACAATATAAACCAACCATTGACATAAAGAATGAAACACGTTACAACACGATATAAACCAACCATTGACATATAGAATGAAACACGTTACAACATAATATAAACCAACCATTGACATATAGAATGAAACACGTTACAACATAATATAAACCAACCATTGACATACAGAACCAGACACATTACAACACAATATAAACCAACCATTGACATACAGAATGAAACACGTTACAACACAATATAAACAAACCATTGACATAAAGAATGAGACACATTACAACACAATATAAACCAACCATTGACATAAAGAATGACACACATTACAACACAATATAAACCAACCATTGACATAAAGAATGACACACATTACAACACAATATAAACCAACCATTGACATATAGAATGAAACACGTCACAACACAATATAAACCAACCATTGACATGAAGAATGAGACACATTACAACACAATATAAACACACCATTTACATGAAGAATGAGACACGTAACAGCACAATATAAACCAACCATTGACATGAAGAATGAGACGCGTCACAACACAATATAAACCAACCATTGACATGAAGAATGAGACACATTACAACACAATATAAACACACCATTTACATATAGAATGAGACACATTACAACACAATATAAACACACCATTTACATATAGAATGAGACACGTTACAACACAATATAAACCAACCATTGCCCTCGAAGCCTGAGGGAAAGGCCTGTTTTTCGCAGAAGTAACGAAGCAGACTTTTTCAGATTTTATTTCTTGGTTAGTAAATAGTATAAATCCGAGTTCTTAAAAAATACCAACCCTCGGAATACCTTTGACACGAAAAAGGCAGTGTTTACACATTCCAGAAAATACAACACTGATTAGTTAACCTGTAATCACACCAGGTCTTAAATCGGATGAAATAATACTGTTAGCATTTGACACACAACAAGACAAGCCTTGCACCACTTACTATTCGTTTTCCTAATAACTTACAACTGATGCGGCATTCAGAACCGCTTTGGCGTCCTGTGCACCGCTGTCAATGGCGTTGATTGCGCTGGCAATTGGTCCAAACGCACTCTCTATTGCATTTCCGATATCCCGTAGTCCTTTCGTGTTTTCTTCGATCTGGTCAGCGGCCTGATTGATAGGCTCCTGAAGTTGGTTTTTCAATGACTCGCTTTGGTTGTAGATTACACCCATGCTGCAGGCCATGGCTGCAGACACCTCTTTGGCATTGTTGGAGATGTTTTGAATAGGCCCCGATAAAAGGATACTGATGATGATTGTTAAGAGAAGAGCTCGGCCGCGAGCCGAGGCTAAGCTTGGCACCATTAGAAGGCCTATGCACCGGCAATGAACAGACGAAGCCAGGCCAATACAGAATAATAATGTACAACCAAGGGTTGCATATCCGGCTATATCGAGAGCAATGCTGTATCCGTAGGCTAGGAGGAAGAACAGTCCAACGCCAGATAATATCCCCATAGCAGCCCCAAAAAACTGATTTTTGCCAAGTAAATTGATTTCTGTCACTTGAAAATAATTGATCAGCAAAATTTTTTATTTGGTCTAACCGTTTTTCTCTTGCCTCTTCCGTTTTGTCATCGCCATGGTCACTGAAGTCATCCTCTTGCTCAATAACCATGTCATTATCTGTGTCGTCGGGTCTGTCAGAATCGTCTATTTCAGAATCAGTTTCCATACCAGGCTTTAAATCCCTCATTGGTATCGCAGCCACATCCGGTTCCAGGGTGGGTCTGTCGATCTGACCGTTGTCAACATCTGAACGTTCCTGATTTCTTCGAGATTTCGCCTTTGTTAATCTGCGTATGATATTGGTGGTGAACGTTTCCACCTTCTGCACGTAGGATGCTGGGAAAACGCCTGTCTCGTTGGTGCTATTGTTAGTCCCAATAACCCAACCATTTCCAACATCTTTGACTTTTCGAAATTTGTCTCCAACTTGAATACGTATTTCCTGTGGCCCTTCCGGCTCGAAATCGGCTATCGCTTCATACAGCATGGTATTTTGTCTCTAACCTGGAAAGAAATGTATATTTGATTAAATAAAAACCGACGAACTTAGAGCAAAAAATGAACAAAATAGATATATGAACGGAAACATTTGAAATGGTTTCTAAGAACGTGTGCCGAAAGGGTGAGCGTCATCAACGACACGCAATATTTAAATCATAGTTAACCCGTGTACAGAATGTCACATTCTCAGGTTTATATCATGTACGATATTGCCAACAAAATATTCCTCAGATACACTTAGCCCAGTCAGGAAAGTTAACACAGATATATAATTATTACGTTAAATACCATGAAAATATCAACAGAAATCAAGAGTAACCTTTGAACCGTTAAGCTTACCCGACGGGGAAAAAGACTATCATCTTGTCTCTTTTTACCGTAGCATTCAGATAAAATTGGTCCCCCTCTCCTGCAATTTATCTAAATCGATTTGGCCTTCTATGATTAAAAAATCCTTAGAATCGCCGATAAGGACGAACGACACAGCTGCATGATGCAGTTTAATTTATCGTTTAACTTTGTGTTGTATCTGATTCTGAATTTGTATTTCATGGTGCCATTCTCTTACGTATAACATAGCCTTTGTGGTGACGGTCCTAGTCTCGCCCTCCACATTTACTCCGATATATTATCTTTAGATACATGTAATCCCAATGTGTTGGTGCCGCGAGGGATCGAACCCTGAACGTAAGGTTACAAGTCTCAAAGTTCTCTCTTGACAAGCACAAGATTGCTGTTAGTATTTACAAGGATGATAATGTTTTACATCTATCACATAGTAACCTCTTAAATGTAATGACGCGATTCAAGTGTTGTTGAATTTTAGTAAGATGAGAATGAAAACGATATGACACATAGAGTAAACAATGTCAGGAAATTTACCCTCTGTCCTGATACACACACACGAAAATGTTTTTTTTTTTTTTTTTGACAAAAATCAGAAACGAAGTGTATGATATAAATAACCACATACATCTGTAAAACCTGTAGCTGTTTTGATGCTGATTATATTGAATGCAATTAAATGTGACTTAATACGTAATCAAACGTATAAAAAGCGCATGTCTATTAATCTGTCTCTTCGGCTATAATGTAACAACATGTAAAAAGACGTTTGAACAAACTTTTTCTCACACGTCAGTAGTAATCTGTCGTATTCAAAGTTTTTAATAATAATGAAATATAACTAAATATTTCACGAAATGGTTTGGTTTTCACAGATTTCACAGATGAATATGAACCATCTCAACGGCTTCACGATTACTTTTCATAAAATTTTATGATTTTCTCTAATTTTTATTAGAAATATGAGCATTTTGTTGCGATATCTGAATAATAAAATCAAGGATAGGATTGTGAAAAAGAATCTTTAAAGTAGCATGTATGCAAGATTCGAATATGTTGTCGGTGCAACTATGTGGGTACGTTTTATTATGAAAATATCAAATATTTTCATGGAAAATAAAACATCAATCGTTATATAGCTATCATGGTTTTTTTTAGATAAAATGTTCATCGTGATATAATTATTATATATTCCTTTAGATAAACCACTATCTAGGTTTTAACTTTATTTTCCTTTTACTTACGAAAACAGATGCCAGTGATTTACATCGACTCCGTTCAGTCATGCAGAAATTAAAGGAAGTATTTGTCTCGTCCGTTTAGTAAGATTTCTCTTCAATTTGATTTTAGTTATCAAAATGTTGATTTCCATACTGTGAAAATTCTTTTTTTTTTGATATATTTTTAGTTATGTCTATATTTATCCAGATCTATATCACAGAAGATCAGCATGATATCCGAGTAAACATAGAATGCTTCCGAACGTGCTGTTAATAAATACAGACATGTTCATCATCATGACTTCGTTACACAATGAAAGTCCGTGTAAATATATCTTTCGTGGATATTTTGATCTAATTTCACCTTTTTTGGATGAGAAATGTGTTTCTACTGTTCTATGGGTTTCCAGCAGTATATATTAATGTTAGGATTTTAATCGCTATTCATAAATACATATTACTTTTATGCTCGTTATTGAAACGGAAGTGTAAATCTTGCAGTCGTTCACAGCAAATGGTGTTATCAACTATTCATAATTTAAAATCCAGCATAAGGACTGTTGTACAACAGTTTCGCAATTTTCATATTTTCAAACAAGCAAATATCAACTTTTGTACCAAGACATGTTGACGTTATTATATTTTGAGTATATAATGTACTGTGTTGTCTTTCCGCTTCGTTGCCGGTGATGGACGGTCATTTCCTTACTTACTACAACATCTGATTCATAAAAACACGATATACATGTTGACCTGATGTTGATACCTAAGTCTAAATTGAAAATATCCTCTACTAAAACTATTTAACCTTTCGCTCACTGTATGTAAATTTCCATCATCTTGGAAAATTGCTAATGTTATACCAGTATACAAAAAAGATGATCCATCTATATTAAATAATTATCGACCTATATCACTCCTGTCAATTGTTGGTAAAATGATGGAACAATGTATTTATAAACATGTTTACAACCATCTTGTTTACAAGTCCTTACTAACATCCTGTCAGTCTGGGTTCAGATCCGGTGACGTAAGGTTACAAGTCTCAAAGTTCTCTCTTGACAAGCACAAGATTGCTGTTAGTATTTACAAGGATGATAATGTTTTACATCTATCACATAGTAACCTCTTAAATGTAATGACGCGATTCAAGTGTTGTTGAATTTTAGTAAGATGAGAATGAAAACGATATGACACATAGAGTAAACAATGTCAGGAAATTTACCCTCTGTCCTGATACACACACACGAAAATGTTTTTTTTTTTTTTTGTTTTTTTGACAAAAATCAGAAACGAAGTGTATGATATAAATAACCACATACATCTGTAAAACCTGTAGCTGTTTTGATGCTGATTATATTGAATGCAATTAAATGTGACTTAATACGTAATCAAACGTATAAAAAGCGCATGTCTATTAATCTGTCTCTTCGGCTATAATGTAACAACATGTAAAAAGACGTTTGAACAAACTTTTTCTCACACGTCAGTAGTAATCTGTCGTATTCAAAGTTTTTAATAATAATGAAATATAACTAAATATTTCACGAAATGGTTTGGTTTTCACAGATTTCACAGATGAATATGAACCATCTCAACGGCTTCACGATTACTTTTCATAAAATTTTATAATTTTCTCTAATTTTTATTAGAAATATGAGCATTTTGTTGCGATATCTGAATAATAAAATCAAGGATAGGATTGTGAAAAAGAATCTTTAAAGTAGCATGTATGCAAGATTCGAATATGTTGTCGGTGCAACTATGTGGGTACGTTTTATTATGAAAATATCAAATATTTTCATGGAAAATAAAACATCAATCGTTATATAGCTATCATGGTTTTTTTTAGATAAAATGTTCATCGTGATATTATTATTATATATACTTTTAGATAAACCACTATCTAGGTTTTAACTTTATTTTCCGTTTACTTATGAAAACAGATGCCAGTGATTTACATAGACTCCGTTCAGTCATGCAGAAATTAAAGGAGTATTTGTCTCGTCCGTTTAGTAAGATTTCTCTTCAATTTGATTTTAGTTATCAAAATGTTGATTTCCATACTGTGAAAATTCTTTTTTTTATTGATATATTTTTAGTTATGTCTATATTTATCCAGATCTATATCACAGAAGATCAGCATGATATCCGAGTAAACATAGAATGCTTCCGAACGTGCTGTTAATAAATACAGACATGTTCATCATCATGACTTCGTTACACAATGAAAGTCCGTGTAAATATATCTTTCGTGGATATTTTGATCTAATTTCACCTTTTTTGGATGAGAAACGTGTTTCTACTGTTCTATGGGTTTCCAGCAGTATATATTAATGTTAGGATTTTAATCGCTATTCATAAATACATATTACTTTTATGCTCGTTATTGAAACGGAAGTGTAAATCTTGCAGTCGTTCACAGCAAATGGTGTTATCAACTATTCATAATTTAAAATCCAGCATAAGGACTGTTGTACAACAGTTTCGCATTTTTCATATTTTCAAACAAGCAAATATCAACTTTTGTACCAAGACATGTTGACGTTATTATATTTTGAGTATATAACGTACTGTGTTGTCTTTCCGCTTCGTTGCCGGTGATGGACGGTCATTTCCTTACTTACTACAACATCTGATTCATAAAAACACGATATACATGTTGACCTGATGTTGATACCTAAGTCTAAATTGAAAATATCCTCTACTAAAACTATTTAACCTTTCGCTCACTGTATGTAAATTTCTATCATCTTGGAAAATTGCTAATGTTATACCAGTATACAAAAAAGATGATCCATCTATATTAAATAATTATCGACCTATATCACTCTTGTCAATTGTTGGTAAAATGATGGAACAATGTATTTATAAACATGTTTACAACCATCTTGTTCACAAGTCCTTACTAACATCCTGTCAGTCTGGGTTCAGATCCGGTGACTCCACCACAAATTAACTTATATCTATTTCTAATGATATTTTCTCCGCTTTAGATAAAGGTAAAGAAGTAAGAATGGTATTTTGTGACATAAGCAAAGCGTTTGACCGGGTTTGGCATCGAGGCCTCCTTTCCAAAAAAAGATCCTTCGGTATCACAGGAAATCTTTTTACTTGGTTCTCAGATTATTTACAAAACCGCTGCCAACGTGTTGTTATAAATGGTAAACAATCTTATTTAGCATATATCACAGCGGGAGTTCCCCAGGGATCAATTTTAGGGCCATTACTTTTTTAAATTTTCATAAATGATACTGTTTAAGACATCCATTGTAACATAAAACTATTTGCTGACGATACGTCTCTATATGTCGAAGTGGAGTCGCCGGGTCCGACCGCAAACCTGTTAAATAATGATCTAACTAAAATCCATGGGTGGTCTCAAACGTGGCTAGTAAACTTTAACCCTAACAACACTGTAACAATGACCGTAAGTAAGAAAAATAACAAACCTATCCACCCCTCCTTGATCATGAACAACGTTACCCTAACTGAAGTCCCGTGCCACAAACACCTCGGTAGTTCCATTTCTGCAGACGGAAGTTGGTCTGATCATGTCCAATGTATTATTAGTAAAGCTTCTAAAAAACTTAGTCTACTTAGAAACCTCAAATTTAGTATCGACAGGAAGTCTCTTCAAACTATTTATTATACTTTCATTAGACCCTTATTAGAATATGGTGATATAGTATGGGACAACATAACTTTAGGCCAAAGTCAGATGCTTGAAAATATACAGCTTGAAGCAGCTAGAATCACGACTGGGGCTAGCAAACTCACAAGCCTCGCTAGACCATATACAGAAACAGGTTGGGAACCCCTTACTGCTCGTAAGAAAAAACATAAAATTATTCAGTTTCACAAGGTCACAATGGTCAGTGCCCTCCTGACCTAAATAACGTTTTACCTGCTCGCCATTCTGATATGCATACTCATAACACAAGAACAGCTAACAATTTCTGTCAAATAAACTGTCGAACAAACCTCTACAAAGATTCTTATTTACTCGAAACTTAGCTGATAGTCCAATGTGTTCATGTAATCTGTCTACCGAAACCACTGAACATTTCCTCCTCCAATGTGCTAATTACCAGCAGCTTAGATTTCAATGTTTTAGTCGCCTTCCTCTAAATCATAGTGCTAACCTTTTATTCCATGGTAGTCCAGAATTATCTGTTCAGTCCGATGAACTTATCTTTGATTGTGTTCAAAACTTTATCATACAGACAAAACGTTTCTGAAGAAACTTGCATTTATTGCTCTTTTGTATCAGTGACTAATTGTTTTTCTTTCTTCTTGTTTTCCTTTTTTCACTATATACAGTAAATATTTATATGAACAAATGTACAGTTCCAATACGTATATCAAATATAGTATGTATCTTGAACTCGGATTGTAAACAACCTGCGTTTGTTCTTTGTTCCTTTTTACAGTTTTGATGCCAATTGCGATGCCACTTAGTAATCACCATCCCGACCCCTGAACCCTTTCTCTTGCTTTTCCTTGCAGATTTTATATATATATTCAATATAGTCAATATTGTCCATAGCTTAAATCTACATTAGGAGACGGATTAATATAAGTACTATGTACTTGTTTCTGTATCCTGTAATTAGTATCATTTATATGTACAACTGCTATTACCTCAATAAAATAAAGTTTAAACCAAGTCTAAATTGAATTGCTCTGGAGACAAATTTAATGAACTGCGAAGATTTTCATTATCAGTCATAGGAAGGTTAAATAAATGTTGGAGACAACATTTGGAACTTGATGTGTCTCACGCAGTCATCAATACATGGAAAACAAACCTGTTCCCCTCAAAATTGCCATAATGTTAGATTTTGATTAATTCAGTATTCATTATAAATACCAATTCATATTCTGCAAATATGGAGCAAGTTTGAATACTTTTATTTAAAGTTTAGCATCAAACACACGTAATGGTTTTCTCCCCTAACAGAATCTGTAAGGGATTTATTCATACGTCCAGATCAACGTTATTCTGGACAAATTCATTGACAAATGAAACAGGCTAAATTTTGCTAATTTAACCGAGTCCAACTTGAGAAGAAATTGATATATATATATATGTGTATGAACAGGACGAAAGTGACGCTAAATGAAATTAATACAAGTAAGTAGTGTCCGTTGAATTTCATAGATTATATGAAGGAATTAAAAAAAATAATCAAAACAAAATCAAAGAAATGAAAAAGAAAACCAAAAAATGATGTTTAACAAATATAATTACTTACCTATTTGTTTCTAATCATATGATCCCCAATCTTTAATGCTCTGAGATTAGTAATTACACTTACTACTATCGGTATGTGTACCGAGTATATTGTGATGCTGGCACTGATGTGCATATGTTATAACGCGCCCGGTGACTAAAGAATGATAGGATATTGTCTACTTCAAGTGTTTATCTATCCGTCGCTGCGTGGGCGATTTGTAACCTCTGGTGACAGTACCTACTTCTCGGAATAACCCCGATTTACATTCTAGTTGACACTGCCATTAAGCAGATATTTCCTCCTATACTGCTACAGTCATCTAGTCCCCGTGTACCGTTTTGAATTGTCTTCGCATAAAAATCTCATTTTATCTTATTTTGTTTCGTTTCCTCCCTACATTTTAATCAACGCTTTCAATATGTCGAAGAAAATGTTATTCAGAGGTTTCTGTTAGAAAAAACGTTTGATTTTGAAAGAGATTAAAGTCAGCCGATGCATTCTTATTATCATGTGCTGTATTGAACGTAGAAAGTTTTGATTTCACATTCAATTTTATATCGTGGCTTTTAATTGCAATAGCACAAATGTATTTCTTTAACTTCCGATAAAATAATTCCCTATTCAGTGCGTTACATATCGATCAGGAAGATAAATTATATTCTTATATGTTAATGAGCTTTTAGAAGGCGTTCATCTCTTAAGAAAATTTATTAACGTCTATTTAACTTGAAGTATTGGAATTCCTTGTGTTAAAGATAATATCAACCGATGTAAGTAAATATCTAATTTTATACATGCTGTTACGGATTTGACTTTAGCCGCGAATATTATGAGCCATACATATAAACAGAGAATCCGGATTTTGATATCCGGTGACAGACGACCTGGCGGAAGTTATTCTAGACATCAAAGACAGTCCGTTGTGTACATGTAGGACACCGTCATACACAACTTGATCTCAAGTTCAATATTGTTGTATTCCTGTTTAAAGACATAGAAAATGCATAAATAGTTGATTAATATTGATAAATTATACCATTACATTAACAAATTGTCAGGAACTTCGTATATAAAAATATTTTAGTCATTTCTAAAATTATAATCTCCTCAAGTCCGGATATTTTGTTTTTATCTGTTTTGTACATTAGAGAAGAAAAGAAAAAATAAACATGGAAGCATGAAGAATGCCGCAACAAATTTTCGCTTTTCGTTATGATTTGCTACATGGTGGAGAATCCTCAGGACTGGTGATATATGTCTTTGAACTTTTGTGAGGTACTTTGTCTACACACACACACACACACACACACACACACACACACACACACACACACACACACACACACACACACACACACACACACACACACACACACACACACACACACACACACACACACACACACACACACACACACACACACACACACACACACACACACACACACACACACACACACACACACACACACACACACACACACACACACACACACACACACACACACACACACACACACACACACACACACACACACACACACACACACACACACACACACACACACACACACACACACACACACACACACACACACACACACACACACACACACACACACACACACACACACACACACACACACACACACACACACACACACACACACACACACACACACACACACACACACACACACACACACACACACACACACACACACACACACACACACACACACACACACACACACACACACACACACACACACACACACACACACACTACGAAACATTGCTGTTACAACCAAATATGTGTGATTTTCTACAATAACATTCTGTGACCCGTACTGAGCGTGACCACGTGGTTTTCCACGATGCAGAACCAGACCATTGAATCTGTCAGCAGCCTGCAATCCTCAGACCTGGTAATAGAGACAATACCTTGGAACTTTTATAAAGGTTCATTATATATATGTGTTTACGAGACATTGCTGTTTTGAACAATCATATGTGAATTTCTACTTCAATAACATTCTGTGAATCCTAGCGTGATCACGTGGCTTTGGCCTTTGCACGATGCAGAATTCGAACCAGACCAATGGATCTCTGTTGCTGGAGGACAACATTACCAATATTGACTTTTCTGGAACTCCTACAATTGTAAAGCCAAGTGCTCTCCCGTTGAATTATACCCCCGGCGTCATACTAACATATCTGATTCTGATGATACATGTGTATATTCATCGAAAATGGGCGGGAAATATGAAAGTCAGACAGACGATTTTGATCATTCGCATCTGAATACTGCTTCCGGCAAATCCCAGCCTCCTGGTCAATCAGAGGCAGCCGTGTTTGTTATCCCTGCCATGTCCACTGACAAAGCTTCACTACGGAAGTTTTCTGGTTACTCTCATGAGGACGGTGAGAAATTTCTGTCAGAATTCCTTAGTTATATCACGTTCAACGGACTGTATCTTGACCCTACACCAGCACGGAAAATTGCAGCATTCCATATGCATCTGACTGGCCCAGCCCAGGTATGGTTCCACTCACTTTGCTCTGATATCAAGAACAATTGGAATTCACTACAGAAAGCTTTTCAGCAGCGGTTTATACATAAGGATGCATTAGATCCTGCTATGATGATTGAATCATCAATGTTCAATAAACTGAAACTCCAGCCTGGACAGCAATTGGAGGAATTCCACAGTATTCTGCTCGAGAAAGGTATGAAACTGGGAAAAACTGAACGTGACATGGTGGCCCAGTTTATTGATGGCTTGCCACCCTCTCTTGCCTTGTTTGTGCGTGCAACTATGTGTACAGACTTACAGTCTGCTCTCTTATCTGCTCGTACTGGTGAAGCAGGTTGTTATAGACACTCTCTTCCTGGTACAGCTGAGGTACCATTAGTGGCCGCAGGATCCAGGATAGTTGCGTCCAGTGATAGGGAAGATCTGCGTCAGCAGGTTGATGATCTCAAATCTCAAGTTAGTACCCTTGTGTCACTAGTTCGCGACAGGTTGACAGGAAATGGGGTACCCAGGACAGATTCTCATATTTCGACATATCCAACTGGTTCACCCTCAGTGTGTTTCAGATGTCAGGGTCCTGGACACAGGAAACGTGAATGCCTATGGTCAGGTCAAGGTCAGCCAGCTCCAACCATCAAATGCCAGTTATGCGGACAGACGGGCCACCCAGCTGTACTGTGTGTTACCCATATAGCTAGACTTCAACCTCCCCCAGTGCCACCCATGACGGGAAACTCTCTACCCCCGAGGGTAGGTCGCGCCCCCTCGGACGGGTACTAAACAATGCGCGTCACAGAAGTCCTCCCCGATTTCGTTGGACAGACTGTACGGATACAGAGAGTGTGTCAGATAATGCATGTACAGATGTTACCCAATCAGACAATAGTAGTGATACTGATGTTAGTTCTGAAGATTGCCCAAAACCAAAATTAATGTATTTACCAATAACTTTTGCAGAAAATTACAAAGTTGCTGGTTTGCTTGATACCGGTTGTTCCATAAATGTCATGTCTGAATCATTGTATACATCATTACCCCATTCATGTAAATCACCTATTGATACCTCTAAGAAATCTTTGATTAAAGTTGCAGACTCCAGACACATTGATGTTGTTGGGACAGCTCGCATCAAAGCTTGCACTACAAATGGGCATTGTTCTTTTACTGTATATATATTACCACAAACATCAAACCCATTAATTTTGGGAACTGATTTTATGATTAGATACAAGATTGTGTTGAACTTTGACACCATGAAAATAGCCTTTTCAAAGGGAAAGGTGAAGGTGAAAAGCAAACATGAGATCTGCATAGAACCTAATTCTGAATGTATTATACAAGGCTAGCTTCCTAAAGGATTGATAATGGGTGTTCAGGGTGTTTGTCATGTCAGTAAACAGGCTATCAAAATTGGTCTATTTGTTGCTAGATCAGTCGTAACTGTGCATGGTTCTCGTACAATTCCAGTCAAAGTTTTGAATCCTGATAATGACCCTGTTGTTTTACATCGAGGCACAGTGTTGGCAGATTTTGTGACAATGGACAGTAGTCATATTGTTGTGCCTGTAGATAGTTCTTTCCCTGATATTTGTACCAAATCTGGTGTTGTTGCACAATGTAACCAGGTTAATGTTGGAGGTTCTACAGACGAAAACCAAGAGAGTAAAATACATGATACTGAGAATGTTAGTTATGAACAATTTATGTTAAATTTTGACTTGCATGTACCAAATTTGTCACCAACCCAATGCCAGTCGTTAAAAAACTGTCTATATAGCAACAGGGATGTGTTTGTTACAGATAGCAATCCATCACTAGGTTTTACAAATGTAGTAGAACATGTGATCCATTTGAAACCAGGTTTTATATCCAAGCACCAACAACCATATCGACTGTCACCTGACAAGAAAGAGGTTCTCAGAACTCAGACAATTTATTGAGCAAAGGTATTATCATGCCTGTAGATGAAAAGGAAGAGTTACCTATAACTAGTCCTATTGTTTTGGTGTCTAAACAGAAGAAGCCTGACTGTAAATCTCAATCAGAGCGTGATTCCCATTTATCAGCATACCGCTTTTGCTGTGACTTCCGTTACTTAAATTTTCAGACACAGCCATTTAGATATACTATCCCCAATCTTCAGGAACTCACAGAGTCATTTACCACTCAGACTCCAAATTTCATAACCTCTATTGATATGAAGTCAGGATTCTTCCAGATGAGCATATCCCCAGAATCAACCAAATATACACCATTTAACACATGCTTTGGTTCATATAAGTTTCTTAGACTGCCTATGGGCCTTAGCACAGCCCCTAATAGCTTTCAGGTTTTGATGGATAAGGTCTTAAAGGGCCTAACATTTCGATCTGCACTTTGTTACTTAGATGACATTTTAATTTGTACTGATACCTTCGAACAACATTTGAAGGATTTAGAGGAAGTATTTGTACGCCTTCGTTCTGCAGGTTTAAAGTTAGGACCTAAGAAATGTGCTTTTGCTCGCGAAAAATGTGTTTTTCTTGGACATGAGATATCTCGTGAAGGTATCAGACCTCCGCCTGACCGTC